GGGAATTCCCGAATCCCGCCTTTCCCGGGATGAATTCCCGGCTCGCTTTGTTTACTCCTGCAATAATCAGCTTTGTGCCTCCTCCACCTTGGGCTTTATCGCACCCGGGGCTCCCCGAGTCACTGCGGAGCGACTCCAGCCCGATTTGCAAAAATCAAACCAGATGGGCGCTTTGTTTTTCCTTACGGAGGGAAGGCTGGGAGTGAAAAGCCCTATTACAATGCAAATACCGGGCTGGCGTGAATATTCAAACCGCTGCGCTGCTTTTGAAGCTCTTTACATAAATTTATAGTGCTTTTATAGCCAGCGCTGCTCGGCTGATCTGGACTGGGGCTTGGTTAACAGAGTCGCTGCTCTCTGCCAACTTCGGAGGGTCTGGGGGTGTTTTTTGGGGGTGTTTTGAGGTGCAGAGGGAAAATGATGAGCGTGGTCAATGGGGAGGAGGAGCTGCCAGCTGTAAGGCTAACTCTGGTAGTGACCCTTGAAGAGCTGGGCGTGCTGTCAAGTGATTTACTGGCATTAAGGTGCTTCATTGTCCTTTTGGGTTTTGTTTTTCCCTTTGGTTTCTCGCTGGGACCCTTTGTGGGGCTGCTGCTCCAAGAGGGGACGGGCAAAGTGAGCTGAGCTGGAAATTGTCTTGACGCGGTGTGGGGATTTTGGGGTGGACGCAGGGACAGGGCACTGAGCTCTTCTCTCTGGTGACCAGTGACAGGACCCAGGGAATGTCTGGAGTGAGTCAGGTTTGGGTTGGATTGCAGGAAAGGTTCCTCCCCCCAGGTTTCCCAGGGAATGGTGACATTCCCGAGGCTGCCAGAGCTCCAGGAGTTTGGACAACACTCCAGGGATGCCCAGGATGGGGATTTTGGGGTATCTGTGCAGGGCCTGGAGCTGGATTCCATGATCCCTGTGGGTCTCTTCCAGCTCAGGGAATTCTGTGATTCAGCAGAGCTGCTGATGGATGAGATGGTTCATTAGGGAAGGAGATAATGAGGGTGAGACAACCTCAGCTCTGCCTTTCCAGCAAGAGCTCCCCAGTCTGCTTTTGGTGGCTGCTGGGCCTCTCAGACAACCCCCAGCACTAAAACCTGGGCTCCTGGTGGGTTTTGCCAGCTGTGTTCACATCACCCAGCTTGTCACAGGTGCAGTGGGAAGGGAAAGTTGCTTTAAAGTGCCCAAGTGTGGCCAGGAGTGTCCCCCCTCTCCAGCACAGGGGGGACACTCGGAGCAGTGACATGCCATGGAGTAGGTGCTTGTGTTCTGGAGGTGGCCACAGGATGCTGCTCTGCTGGGTAATTACTGCTAATTACCAGGCCCTCATTTGAGTCGAGGCAATCAAGAGGAGCAGTAAAAACATTTTCCTCGCTGTCCCTTGGAGGTGATGACTTCAGTGGAGGGCAGGGATAAGGGCAAGGTACCCATAGCCCTGATTAGTGATGCAGAGCATCCCCAAAATCCCAAAATCTCCCTCTTGTGCAGCAGCAAATGTGATTTTGTATTGTCCTACTGGAAGCCCGTGGCTGGGGGTTGACATGAAGTGACCTTTAAGGTCCCTTCCAACTCAAATAATTCTGGGGTTCTGTAATTCATACTGCTTACAAACACCCCCCCACCCCCCCAAAAAAAGTAATTGTGCTAATTGTGGTGTTTCTCCTTGCTGATGCCATTGATTGACCGATCTGTGTCTTCATTAGCTCCAGGCTAAAGTTGATATCGATTCCAGGCACTTAAATATGCGAAGCAGTAATTACTGTTTAAGCCTATATTGTTTGAGTTAAATTTAGCTGAGAATTTAGTCCTCTCAGGCCCCTACATTGTGTGCCTTGAAGGTTATCTGGCTCTCAGGAGGGGGTGGATTTAAAAGCAGGAAAGAAATGCCGGTGAAAACTTCCTCTTCTCATCATCATCCCGGAGCGCTTTGCTTCCCCGGGCTGGCAAGAAGGAGAACAGAAATGAGGAATAATGTGGTGCTGACTGTCCTAAACGTGCACTTTCCAGCTCAAGCTGGTCATTCTGGGGGGCTTGAAGCAGCACAGAAGGGCAGCAATAAATCTGAACAAAGTGATGCCCTGTGCAGGGACCATCCCCTCTCCTCCTGGCGGGGGACTGGGGAGCCCCCGCTCAGCTGCTGCCTGCCTGCCCCTATTATCCCTGCTGCATCTCAGCTGCTGGCCCATCTGGAGCAGGGATGAAAGGCAGCCCTTTCACTGGGGCTTTGTGTGCCGCTGCCGGGTCCCCCCTTCCCGGCACCACGGCTGCTGATGGAGGTGGCAGCGCAGCCGGGGCTCTGATGCTGCTGCCCTCATTATTCTGACTGCTGCCCGATGCCAGCTCCTCAGGTAGGAAGGAGGCTCTGGGTTGGTTTTTTTTTTTCCCCCTCTCGCTGTGGAAGCGCTGCTGAATAATTCAGGCAGGAGAGAGGAGAGGAGAGGAGGCATCTTGGGTCACCTTGCGCAGCCGGCTGCGTGCCGGAGCCGCCTGCCTAAGATGGAGGTTGAGCAGGATTGCGGGATCGCCGGGCTGCTGGCAGCTCCCCGGGCCCTCTGAGGCAGGAGGCACCCAGCCCTGGCCTCCCTGGCCCTGGGGAACAGGGAATCCCTTCCCCAGGCTCTGCAGGGGGGGTTATGTCCCTCTAAGCTCTGGCTGTCCCCTGGCGTGGGGATGTGTGAGGCTGTTCCTGCCAAAAACTCACCTGGGCTGTAGGGCAGGTATGGCCCATGCACCTGATGCTCTTTTCCTTTAGGGATTGGGCTTTTCCTGCTGGTTTTCTGGGGTTCCCAATGCCCAGGGTGAGTTTTAGGGCTCTGTGCTGTTGTGGCACTGTGTCCCTCTAAGCTCTGGCTGTCCCTCACCAAAAACTCACCTGGGCTGTAGGGCAGGTGTGGCCCACGCACCTGATGGCCTTTTCCTTTAGGGATTGGGGTTTTCCTGCTGGTTTTTGGGGGTTCCCAGTGCTGGACTTGCCCAGGGTGAGTTTCTGGGCTGTTGTGGCACTGAGAGGGGTGATCCCAGTGCTCCAGCAGCAGGGATGCTCAGGGATATACTGGGAGGTGGCATTTATCTCTCTGCACTAACTGGGGGAACTGGTTCTGGTCAGGTGCTGCAGACATCTCTGGGGGGGCAGGAGGTGGCTGACCCTGAAGATAAGAGGTTCAGAGATGCTTGGGAAGCTCTGTGGGGTGGAGTCACCTTTGCTGGAGGCTTGGCTGTGAGTTTTGGGGCCGCTGGAATGTGCAGGCAGGGCTCCCTGACACCAGGATCCAGCCACTGTGGAGCCCTGGGGGTGCAGGTGGGAAATGGGGCTGCTGGTGTGGGAATGGAAACAAGTTTGTTGTCTTCCTCCTGCTCACAGGCACCTGAGTTTTTGGGTGCTGCCTCCTCCTCCTCCTCCTCTGTGCCCCAGGTCGAATGTGTCTGTGCCTCCCTCCTCCCCCCAGCACTTGGGAAATCAGCTCAAGAGGGATTTGGGGGGAAAAAAATTAGGCCAGGAAGGGTGTGAGGCTCAGGTGGAGGGGTTGTGTCCATCCCTGGAGTGCCCAGAGCTGTGGCAGGGCAGGGGAAGGACAGCCTGGCTGGGCTGTCCCTGTCCTGTGGGCTCTGTGTGCTCCACAGCCCTGCATCCCTCAGCAGATGTGGGATCCAGAGGCTGCTCTGCCCTGGCATCTGCTCCTGCAGCCAGGGAAATCAAGGACACAGCTGCTGCTCTGCCTGCCCTGCAGATTTCCTGGCTGGGCTGGGCAGGGCAGTGGAGCTGGGCTGCAACTGCAGCAGCTCTGGGATGTCCAGGAGTGCTGCTGTGGCCCAGGGAGCCACAGGAACCCTGTGAGGAGCAGAGGGGACGGGGCTGGGTGGGGAAGGGAGTTGGGGTAGGACCCCCCTGTTTTGGGAAATGTGGCTGACACAACCCCCAGCAGTCACAAAACCAGAATTCCCACGGCTGGCTGGTGTGGGCTCATGGATGAGGCTGGGATGCCCAGCTGGCTCCTTGGGACACCAACTGCAGTGCCCATTGTCACCCAAGCACGGTGACAGTGCCTGTTGTGCCCCAGGGTAGTGGCACATCCACACTGAGGCTGTGTGGTGGCGCTGGGTGACACAGCTGCCACCCAAAGCCAGGCTGAGCAAACAGATCCAGCCAAATCCTGCATTTCAGACAGGAAATTTCCCTTTACCCCCTGCCAGAACAGCTCCTGGGGCTGTGAGCAGGATGAGAGGGGTGAAAACTTGACCTGGAGGGGAAAATGAAGACCTGAGGCCAACAGGGTCTGGGTTTTGTGTGCCTGCTGCAGGACACGGGTCCATTTTGGCTGTCCCCACGCTGCTCTGGCTTTGCTGCCTGTCCAACTCTTTGCCTTCAGCCAGGGTTTGACCTGAAACACCTGAGGGGGAGCAGCATGGGGAGTTCTTGGCAGCTGGGCTTGATCTGGGGAGTTGTTTCCCCAAAGTAAAGCATTCCATGATCCTGGAATGGATCCTGGAGCTGTGTTGTGCCCCTGGAGGGGGTGGCCACGGTGGGTGGCTGCCCTGAAGGGTTTGGGCTGGGGTCTCCTGCCCTGCCCTCCTCAGGCTTTGCTCCCTGCAGCTGCTGAGCCGTTCTTGCCTTGTTTATCTTCTCACCAAAGGCTCACCTGCAGCACCTGGGGATCCCTGGAGCCCCAGGGAACAATTTAGCTGCTGCAGCTGAGCCAGACGAGCTGACAGGAGCAGTGGGAGGTGGCACACAGGGACTGTCCCAGCCACCTGGGCTGTCCCCTCCCCAGGGTTTGGCTCTGCCAGGCTTTTTCCCCTGGCTCTTTCTGCTCTGTGACTCCTTCCCCCAGTGGGCTGGGAGAGGCTGGAGCAGTGGTGGAGCATCAATGCAACCAAACACAGCCCCAAACAGCCTGGTGGGCATCTTCTGTGCCAGCCCTGGGGTTTTTTGTTTGTTTTTTTTTTTGCTGTCCCATGGCACCAGGGGTGACCTGTGCCATCTCTTCCCCCAGGTGAGCGTGGCAGGCTATGGGATGGATGAAGCTGAGCAGGACCAGTATGAAGCTCGCCTCAAGGAGCTCTTTGACAGCTTTGACAGCACAGGCACGGGCTCCCTGGGCCAGGAGGAGCTCACTGACCTCTGCCACGTGCTGCACCTGGAGGAGGTGGCCCCAGCCCTGCAGCAGACCCTGCTCCAAGGAAACCTCCTAGGCAGGGTAAGGAGCTGGGGGATGGAGGGGGCAGTGCCTGCGTGCATGGGGTGGTTTTGGGGAGAGATTGGTGTGTGATTTGTGTGTATCCAACATTCCTGAGGCTCTGGTGCCACAGGGCTTGTGGGGTTTGGCCTGGTCTGTTCAGCAGGGTGGGCACAGAGCAACTCCCAAGAGCAGAACTGGGGATAGCAGGAGAGGGAACTGCTCTGTCTGCCCTGACTGGAGGTGGTGTGAAACTCAGGAGCCACCACTTTGGGCTGAGCCTTGTGCTCTGCTGTGCTTTCCCAAGGCCAGAGCAGGTGCCAGGTCTGGCTGCCCTTGGCTCGCGCTGTGTCTGTGTCCCCAGCTCTGGTCCCTGCTGCTGCTGGCCTGGGTCACCTCCCCAAACCAGCTCACCAGGTGCTTAGACAGGCTCTGAGCCACCTGGGATGGGACAAAGCCCTAAATCCAGGGCTTGAGCCTGTGATTTACCCTGGCTTAAGCTGTGGTTATGCTGGCAGGGCTGTGTGCAGTCACGGATGTCTCTCTAAGGTACAGAATGTTGTCCCACGCTGTCTGAGCCATCTCTGTCCACTTTGCCTGCTGTTGGTGGCTTCCTAAAGCCATTCTCCAGTTGTGGTTGCACCTTCATGGGGTTAAATCCCAGGGCAGCGAACAGAAGCTGCCCCTGGGGGGATCTCCACGTTCAGCTGGGTGTCTCTGTGCTCAGAGTGCATCAGATCCTTCCCTGGAAATCACCCTGAAATCCATCACTGCTCATTAAAATCACAGAAATGTGGAGCAGGGCAGCCAGGGCTTTCAACACACAGGCAGCCATCCCGACTCCAATTTCCAATCAAACTGCAGTTCTCACAAACAAAATAATTCCTTTAATGATCAAAGGGGTTTTTCCTTTTTCCTCCTCTTCCTCGCCTGCCCTGGGGCTGCAGCTCTTCTGCTGTGAGGGAGTGGAGCTGGGATGGATGCAGGTGGAGGTTGTTGACCTTTAGAGTTGCAGTGTGGCATTTTCTGGAGCACCAGAGACTTTCTGTGCTGCTCTGTCATCTTGAGCACGGGGCACTCGGATGCTGTTAGCAAAGAATCCTGGAATGGGTTGGGTTGGGTTGGGAGGACCTTAAAGATCATCCAGTGCCACCCCTGCCATGGCAGGGACACTTTCCACCATCCCAGGCTGCTCCAAGCCCTGTCCAAGCCTGGCCTTGGACACTTCCAGGGATCCAGGGGCAGCCCCAGCTGCTCTGGGCACCCTGTGCCAGGGCCTGCCCACGCTCCCAGCCAGGAATTCCTTCCCAATATTGAATTTAAATCTATTTTCCTTCAGCTTAGAGCCATTGCTCCTTGTCCTATCCTGGCTTTGCCACTTGTGGGATGGTGGCACAGAGAGAAAAGACCAGATGTGGCTGTCACAGCTGGTCAGGGCACTAAAACCCCCATTAAAGCATCCCAAAGGCAGGGTCACACTCACCCCATCCCATCCCAGAGCTCCACCCCTGCAGGACACAAGGCATCCCATTTTATTTCATCCCCCCTTTGTCCCTGGGCATGGTTCTCCCTCCCAGTCTGCCACAGAGCCTCAGGACAACCTCTGTCTCTGCTCCTCAGCAGCAGCAGTGGCCCAGGTTTAAGCAGGAGCCAGATTTCAATTTCATGGCCCTGGCATCCTTGGGGTTTCCTGGGGAGAGCAGCAGCACACCCAGAGCCCCCTGAGCACAGACTTGTTGCACCTGCCCCTCGTGCTGCAGATGGTCCCAGCCTTTGTCTGCCTGCCCTTCCAGGGGCTGGGATTTATGGGACAGCCCCGGGGAGGGGGGCACTGGGGGAAGGTTTTGTCTGCTCAGGGGCAGCTCCCTGGGGCCACGTGCTTGTCTTTGTGCTGGGGCTCTGCTCCAGGCATGAATGGATGCTCTGGGATCATAAAATCGTGGGATGCTTTGGGTTGCAAGGGGATTTTAAAGATAACCTCGTTCCAGCCCTCTGCCCTGGGCAGGGACTGGGAGCTGAGTTTGCATTCAGAGAGGGACTGGAGGTGCTGCCTCCCCCAAGATGGTTTGGGAATTATTGGGGTCTGGGGTGGGTGTAAATCCTGCCCTGACTCATGGTCTGGAGGTGCTGCCTCCCCTGAGATGGTTTGGGAATTATTGGGGTCTGGGGTGGGTGTAAGTCCTGCCCTGACTCCAGGCAGAGCCAAACCCCTGTGGTGGAAGTGTTTTCCTCGCACGCTGTGTGTGGAGATGATGCTCACTGCAGTTCCTGGGGTGCCTCAGGAAGGTTCTTGCCCCTCACCCTCGGTGGCAGGAGGGAGGGGATGGGTGTGGCTGGGCCTGTCTGTCTGTCTGTCTGCCCTCTCTGTGCCCTTTAATTAGCAGCAAGCCAGAGGTGTCCTGGGGACAGTGCAGGGATGGGGATGAGCCCTGGGAGCCAGTCCCTATCCCTGGAAGTATCCAAGGCCAGGCTGGACAGGGCTTGGAGCACCCTGGGACTGTGGAAGGTGTCCCTGCTAGAACAAGATGGGCTTTAGGGTCCCTTCCAACCCAAACCACTCTGGTTTTATGACTCTGCTTCGGTATTGCTCATCTCTGTGTCTGCTCATGGGGGTCTCTCTGCAATTTGGGGCTGATCCCAGCCAGCCAGGAGGCAATGGGGGTTGGGGAGGTGATGCTCAATGGGCTGTCCAGGATCAGGGACAGCACACACATTCCTGGCTGGCAGGGTGGGCAGGCCCTGGATCCCTGGCAGTGCCCAAGGCCAGGCTGGATGGGGCTTGGAGCAGCCTGGGATGGTGGAAGCCCATGGCAGGGAGTGGGATGAGATGATCTTTAAGGTCCTTTCCAGCCCCAATCCTGCTGGGATTCTGTGAAGTTGGGCACTCTGGCCCTGTGCAGGGCCTGTCCTTGGAGCTGTCCTTGAGCAGGGATGAGGAGCTCAGGTTTCACCTGCACCACTGCATTCCCAGCCTGCAGCAAGGACAGCCTGGCTGGGCTTTCACTCCCAGCTCCCTGCAGTGACCTCTTGCAGAATACCCAAATATCCTCCCCCTGTGCCTGCAGTGCCCTTGCTGCTCCCCTTGGTGCCCTGTGGGCTGGGGCCAAGGCTGCCCTGTTCTGATGGCACTGCAGGAGTGGCTTGTTGGGACCTGAAGGGACACCTGGAGCTGTGCCAGGGCAGGTTTGGGTTGGATTTCAGGAAAGGTTCTTCCCCCAGAGGGTGCTGGCACTGCCCAGGCTCCCCAGGGAATGGGCACAGCTCCAGAGCTGCAGGAGCTGCCAGGGATGCCCAGGGTTGGGAGTGTTGGGGGGTCTGGGCAGGCCAGGGGCTGCCCTGGATGATCCCTGTGGGTCAGGATATTCCCTGTGGGTCAGGATATTCCCTGTGGGTCAGGATATTCCCTGATCCTCATCTCCCCCAGCAGACATTTCCCTGTGCAGCTTCTGGCTGGAAGGAGTCTGCAGGCCGGGGCAGAGCTCTGGGGATGGGGTTTGTGCTGGGGATCAGGGCAGGGAGCTGCAAGGAGCCTGTGCCAAGTGCTTTGCATGGCAGGGGCACACAGGAGCAGCAGGTGCCCTGGCACAGGCTCCCAGCCCTTTCTAGTGCTAATCAGCACAGCTTCAGAGGGAGCTGGCTCTGCAGGGACCTTGGGCTTTCTCTGAGGAACCAGAGCTGCTCAGCAGCACAGCTTTGGTTGGTCCCTGGCTGCCTGGGCAGGCTGGGCTGGCTTTGTCTTGTTTGATTTACTTGTTCTGAGAAAATTCTCCTTGCTGGGGAGCTGCCCTGGCTGTGCAGTGCTGGTCTGGCTGTGGGGTGTTGCTCCAAACCCCATCCAGCCTGGTCTTGGGCACTGCCAGAGATCCAGGGCCTGCCCACCCTGCCAGCCAGGAATGTGTGTGCTGTCCCTGATCCTGGACAGCCCATTGAGCATCACCTCCCCAACCCCCATTGCCTCCTGGCTGGCTGGGATCAGCCCCAAATTGCAGAGAGACCCCCATGAGCGGACACAGAGATGAGCAATACCAAAGCAGAGTCATAAAACCAGAGTGGTTTGGGTTGGAAGGGACCTTAAAGCCCATCTTGTTCTGGCAGGGACACCTTCCACCATCCCAGGCTGCTCCCAGCCCATCCAACCTGGCCTTGGGCACCTCCAGGGGTGGGGAACCTGGGCCAGGCCCCCCCCAGCCTTGCAGGAGGATTTCTGCAGCATTTCTGTAGGATTTCTGCAGCATTTCTGTAGGATTTCTGCAGGATTTCTGCAGCCTTTGTGGCTTTGCTGTCCCGTGGCTGCCTTGCCTGGCTCGTGCTCCAGCCCAGCTCTCATTTTATCAGTGCTGTTTCTCCAGCTCTGAGCGCTCTGTGCCTGCACACATCCAAGGTCAGAGTGCACCACAGGCTGCTTTTGCTGCTCAGCTGCTGTTGGGGAAACCTCTGCCCCATCTTGAGGACAAATCTCCCCCCTTTTCCAGCTGGGACTCCACCTGCAGAGCGAGGGGGGCGTTGGGGACCCCCCTGTGCCTGTCCCTGTGCTGCTGGTTTGCATTTGCAGTCCTGCTGTGCAGCACAGGAGCATGGCCATGTCCTGTTCCTCAGCCTGACCTTCCACAGCCTCCTGGGGCTGTCCTGCTCATGGAAAAATCACAATTTGACCACAGGGCCAGTCTACTTTATCAGACCCCAGTGTCTAATTAGACACCAGCTCTGGAGTGGGTTTTGCTAAGCCCACGCTTTGCCAAGGGCTGTAGGGAGCAGAGAGGGCTCAACTTTTTTATTTTTCTGGTTTTTTCCTCCTTTCTTGGTGATTTGTCAGGCACACAGTAGTGGGGGTGTGAGCAGCAGCATCTCCCCCTGCTCTTGGTGGGAGGAGTGGGCAGCAGAGCATCCTCTGCTCTGGGGGTGTTTCCCCCTCTGTTCAGGGGGATATTTGGCATTTTTGGGGGTGAATGGCACACAGGGCTGTCTCAGGGGCATCTGCTCCATGAAAGGCTGGATTTTAACATCTTCATGTTTTTCCTGTGCCTCTGGAAGCACCTGGGGTTTGGCTGGAGCAGCTCTGAGGGTGGACTTGATGACCTTAATGGTTCTTTTCCAACCTGAATGATTCTCCAAGCCTTCCTGCTCATTTTTGGCTGGGAATGAGAAGCTGTTCAGCTCCTCAGTGAATTTCCTGCATTCAGGAAGCATGGATGGCTGCCTCTGTCCTTGTGCAAGGGCTCAGCTCCTCCTCCTCCCTCCTCCTCCCCATCAGTGCAGGCAGGAGCCGTGGGCTCATTGTGCAGAGCAGGGGATGGCAGTGCTGCTGCACACCTGCCCAGGTGGTTTGGCTTTGTTCAATTCCATGTGAGGGATGCAAAGTGGGTCTTGTTTTCCTGTGAGCTCCCCTCCAAAGCCATCCCCAGCACCCATCCAAGGGATTGGCTCTGTCCATTCATTCCTGAGAGGATCCCATGGGGAGGGAACCTGTAATCTGAACACCCTCATCTTTTATTCATCCTCATTTAGTCTAAATGTCAAGTTTTCTTTATTTTAATGGGGGAAAGTCTCCTCTCTCTGTAAACTGGCCTTTTTGAAGTACACCAGTGGCTGGAAATGGATGGCAGCAATTAGTATTCAGATGAAGCAGTCCTGATGAGCTTCTGTGCTGAACATATTTTTTAATTGTGTTAAAAAAAAATGTTTAAAACTGTTTAAAGCCTCAGGGGTGATTGGCACTGCCTGAGCTCCCCTGTACCCCCATGTCTCACCTCTGTCCCCTCCCAACCAGGGGGCTTGTTGGTATTTTTCTGAGCTTGCTTGACCCCCAAAAACAAGCTGGGGAACTTCAGACTTGAACTTTGGTGCTTGTGCAGGGTGAAAATCCCTCTGAGTGCAGCTCTGCCAGCCAGAGCAGCCTCTCTGCGTTCCTTTAAATACAAAATCTTCTTGTTCCACGCTGAAAATTCTTCTAAGATTTATTTAGCCAGGAGAAATGGCAGCAGCCTGGCCACTGACCCATGTCAAATTGCTCCTCCAGCTGTCCCTGGGTCTGGTGTCCCCCAGGCTGGAATTGCTGACATTCCCCAGCAGGCTGGGAGGATGCTGCAGCCTCCTCCTGGCTCTGCTGCCTGGCAGGCAGGAGGATTTCCAGGAAGGCACAGATGGAAAAAAGCAGAAGGGAAAAAAAAAACCAAAACCCTCCCTCAGTGGCAGAATCATCTCTGGTTTATTCCCAGCTTCGCTCCAGGCTTGGTATTCCGAGTTCAGCCCTCCCAGAGCTGCTGGAGCTGCCCTGGAAAGGGAGGGATTTTTCTGCTATCCACACTGGGGAGTGGTTTTTGAAGGTAAATGAGGGCACTGGAGCATTTCCACAGCAGAATATTCGTCCCTGCTCAGGAATGGTCTCACTGCAGAAGCCACCGACCCTGGCCAGGTCACCTCGAGGCCTGGAGATGTCCCTGCTCCTTTGGAAGTGTTCTTTTGGTTCCTGATCAATGGAAAAACCCAACCAGTGCCTGAAATCTGTGGCTTTGGCTCCTTCTGTGTGGCAGTAACTGCTCCCACGTGCCCAGAGGTGCTGGCTGTGCCTGCCTGTCCCTTGCTGTCCCTTCTGCAGGGTTCCTTGGTGCCCCTTGCCCAGGCTGTTGGTCTGGGGGTGCTGATGAGTGATCCCCACTGCTGCCCATCTTCTGCTGCATTCTGGCCTCATGTTTAACTCCTGCACCAGCTGATTGCCCATTTCCTTCTGGTTTTTTTTCTTTTCCTCATATTCTGGCCCCATGTTTAACTCCCTGCACCACCTGATTGCCCATTTCCTTCTGGTTTTTTTTCTTTTCCTCATATTTTGGCCTCATGTTTAACTCCCTGCACCACCTGATTGCCCATTTCCTTCCTTTTCTTTTGTTTTTTTCCCCCACAGGTCCACTTTGATCAGTTTAAAGAAGCACTTATCCTCATCTTATCCAGAACCCTGTCAAATGAGGAGCACTTCCAAGAACCAGGTAAATACTGAAATTACCTAAACTGGTACATTTTCATTGGCAAAGCAGCTCTGGGTGGCTCTCACAGAAGAACTTAGAAGAGAAAGTGCTTTTTAGGTGCTGCCACCCAAGCAGAAAAAGCTGATATTGGGAGAAAAGGTGTTGGTTTTTTGGTTTTTTGTTTGTTTGTTTTTATAGAAATGAGGTAATTGAGAAGTTTATAAACCTTAAGAAGTTTTATAAACCTTAAATATAAGGTTTATAAAAATTATTTATATTAACATATTAATATTTGTATTTACATTAATAATTCTATCTGTATTTTAATCATAGTATATATTAATAAATATAGTTATTTATATTAATATATTAATTTATAGATCAATATTATAATAATATATTTGTATTTATATATTTATAGTAATATGCTAGTTTATATTAATATATTTATTTGTATTTTAATGATATCATTCTATTAATATATTTATTAATAAATATTATTTATATTTATATAATTATTTATATATAAATTAATATATAAATAATATATTCATTTGTATATATAAATATAAAATATAAAAATATAAATAAATATGTCAATATCAACATGAAAATATGAATAAATATGTAAATATACACAGATTTTTATATATATAAAAATTCATATATAAATAATATATGAATTTATATATATATTTATATTTTCATGTTGATATTGACATATTTATTTATATTTTTATATTTTATATATATTAATATCCAGAAATATAATCTATTTGTGTATATTAATATATATAAAATATAGAAAATCAAAATAATTTTAATTTTTATAAATTATTATTTATTTATTTTATAGAAAATAAAAAAATGTTATTGTACTATTAGTTTTGATGAAGGGTGAGAAATGGATTCTTTACACAAAGGGAGCTGAGGTTTGTTGTGGAACCTTGCCCAGAGGTGTTTTCAGAGCCCTTGGGTATTTCCCTGCCATTCCCATGATCTGAATGCCCAGAGAGGCCCAGGCTGGCTGTGAGCTCCCTGCAGATGCTCAGGATGGGTCATGGCTGGGACAGGGGCTCAGCTCCCTCCATCCCACACCACTCCTGCTGCCCAGGGATGCTCGAGGAGCAGAGAGCTGTGGCCAGACAGACAAAAGGCTGAGCTCCTGCTGCTGCTGGGGTTTTTCCCAGCTGGGACTGGTGTTGGTTTTTATGTTTTTTGGTTTTTTAAGTCCCTTCTGTTTCCTTGTGTCTGAGATGAGCAGGGTGTAGGAAGCCTCTCTGAATTTCTCCCAGGAAAACAACCACTCGGGCTGCTCCAGAGGAGTTCCTCACCAAGTGGAGCCCCTGAGAAACCAGGCTGGGGCTGGTCAGAGAATTCCAGGATGGTTTGAGTGGGAAGAGAGCAGTTCCACCCCCTGCCATGGGCAGGGACACCTCCCACTATCCCAGGCTGCTCCAGGGACCCTTCCAGGGGCTCTGCTGTGACTCCTCAGTGTTCTCCCTGCTTTGTGCCTTGAGAATGGGGCATTTTTAGGCTTTCCTTGGAAGGAAAGGTTTCAGGTTCAGTGTTTCCCCCCCTGCAGCAGGGCCTGGGAGCTGTGGGGCCGTGCTGGGGCTGAGCCCTGCAGCTCCAGCTGGTGCCACACCTGTATGGAAATCCCTAATCCTGTCCTTGGAGCAGCAGGGGAGCCAAATCCCCCAAGGAGAAAACAGCTTAGCAAAGGGGGAGAGAGAATTCTCCAGATTTCCCCCTCCTGGAGCATCAATCTCAGCTGGAGCATCCCACTCTGGAGAGAGGAGCCTGCCAGCAAAATTACAACTTTCCCCTTTTAATAAGGCTGCAAAAACCACAGGGCTGGAGAGGTGTGATTGATGGATTATTTTTCTTTTCCACCTCTCATTTCCAAAGCTCTTTAATGCTGTGAGAGGGGTGATGGCAGCTCCTTTGCCCAGCATTCCTTAATGGAATTTCCAAGTGCAGCTCAGTGGGTGCTCAGGGGGGAGCATTCCCTGCCAGCCCCTTGGGAAGGAGCTGGCACAGAGCAGGAATCAGCCCCAGTGAGGCAGAACTAATCCAGCATTCTGCATTTATTGGGGTATCATATGGCTGAGAAGCTCCAGCTTGATTGAAATGTAAATAAATCTTCCAGAAACAGCTAAATTTGGGGTTATCACAGGGGAAATTACAAGTGAAGCTGGAGAAGCCCTCCTTGGGGATGCTCTTGTCAGAGTGGGGTTGGAGTGGCAGCAAATCAAAGGGTGTAGGGTACAGGTAGGGAGGCAGAGCCAGGCAGGCCTGGGAGGCATTTTATTTTTAATGCATTTTGACAGGTTGGTTAATGCCAAAGTCTTTGCTTCTTTTAATTTAGATCAAACTGGAGATTTGGAGAAACAAGCTGCTTTGTGCTGTTGGTGTCAAACTGTCAGGGAGTGTGGAAATGCTGGTGTTCCAGCCTGCCCCAGGCTAGGGAAAAAAATTGAGTTAAGAGCTCTAAATCATATCATTTAAATGAAAATTTAATTGGGGGTGTGGGGGGGGAGAAGCAGAGATTTTAAGGCTGTTGGCAGCATCTGGGAAGGAAGAGGCTGTGGGGGTATGGGAGGGTCAGTGGGGGAGCACTGGGGGATTTTGTGCTGCAGCCCCAGACAGTCTGGGACACAGCCAGGGGGGTGGCATGGCCTTGTCCCCATGGATGCTGTCAGCTCAGGAGGGTGACAGGAGGGACAGGGAGCTGTTGGAGGCACAGAGGGATGCAGCCCCTCTGCTGCTCAGAGGTTTGGGGCTGTTCAGGCTGGAGAAGAGAAGATCTGGGGACACCTTCCAGCCCTTGCCAGTCCCTGCAGGGAGCCCAAAAGAAACAGGGAAAGGGAAAATCCACAAGGGCCTGGAGTGACAGGACAAGGGGAAATGGCTTTGACGTGCCAGGGGGCAGGGATGGATGGGAGATTGGGAATTAATTCCTGGCTGGGAGGGTGGGCAGGCCCTGGCACAGGTGCCCAGAGCAGCTGGGGCTGCCCCTGGATCCCTGGCAGTGCCCAAGGCCAGGCTGGACACTGGGAGCAGCCTGGGATGGTGGAAGGTGTCCCTGCCATGGCAGGGGGTGATTTCCAAGGTCCCTTGCACCCAAACTGATTCTGTGCCAGGGCTCTGGGGTCACAGGGGCTGGGGACAAGGAACCAGAAGTGCTGCAGTTCCTGCAGAAGCAGCCACTGGGGTTTCCTCATTCGGGAGGAAGCACTCAGGCTTGCAGAGAGCAGCTGATAGATTTATACAGATTTATTTTTTTGTCTTGAATTCCTTTTTCAAAGGCAAGACTGGCAGGGAGGATGGTGCTGCAGGCTCCTTGCCTGGGAAGCAGCTCTGGAAACCAAGGCAGGCAGAGCTCCAGAGCTGCTGTGATCAGCTCTGTCCCCTCGAGGGTGACACTGTGGGGACACAGACCCAGCTGTGAACCAGAGCATCAGCTGGGCAAAGCCTTCCTCTGCTGGGAACAGGCATGGGGAGATGCCAGGAAAAGCAGGAAAAAAGCTTGAATGTGGTTTAAAATAATCACTATCTTAGCTCTTGATTCCCGTGGGACAGGGCTGGATGCTGCTGCTCTTTGTCCACGGGTCACTGCAGCAGTGAGGGGACAATGAAATAGATTTAAGGGTGGGGAAAGGAAAACAAAAAAAAAAATCAGTTGTGTGGGTGATTAGGGAAGAAAAAAAAATCAGGCTTTTTTTCCTCCCCATTATAGCAAATAAAAAGTGCATGGAAGCTGGGCTAGGGAGGGATTATGGGGTGGAGTGCAGGATTACAGGAACACCCAGGAGAAATTAAAGAGCACTTGGACGCCATCCTCCCCACAGTCACAAGGGTTTTGGGGTTTTTCCTTCCCTGGTTTTCCCTTTTCCTTCTGGAGACAGCAGAAGTGCCCTCTAACAAAGGGGCTGGTGGGGATGATGCCCTTTGGAAGGGCCCCATCCGTGGGGGAAAGGTTGTTCAGGTGGCTGCAGCACTGGGTGAAACCAGTGTCACAGCCCAGGCAGGGCTGCCTGATGCCACAGGGTATTTTTTGGGTCAAAATCCATTGATTTTGGGTTGTGGTGACCCTGCCACCACTCCTCTCTTCCTCCACTGCTGAGCCTGAGTGGTGAAATAGGGCTTGGAGGAGTTCAGACGTACCTGGTGCCTCAGGGGATTAGGATTTAGTAGATCCTGGCTGCCATGGGCTTTGCCCAGCACTTGGAGCATCCCTCCCTTCCAAATCTTAAGCAGCAGAGAAATTAATTTCCCCTCTGAAGGCTGGGATTGTGGGATGAGGGGGCTCCTGCTCTAAACCCCCTTTTGTCTGCGCTGCAGGGCTTTGATGCTGGGCCCAGGGAAGGGGAGCCCCCCCTCCCTACCCATCTGAGGGCAGAGCAGGATTTTGAAATGACTTATCTGGTGCAGAAAGGCAGAAAATCAAGTGTAAATCTCCAGCCATGGAGACATTTCAGTGGGATGGATGAGGGGAGTGAGAGAGGGAATTGATGGCTCCCGTCTGTGGCGCTTAAATCAGGGAGTGAAATGCAGAATTAGGGGGGGTTGTTTCATTCCAGGGGCACTTGGAGGGCCACAAACCCTCTGGGCAGTGGGCAGGAAGGTGAGAGGCTGCTTCCCTCAGCCTCCTCCTCTTGCCCCCAGCCTGGGGGCAGTTCAGGGGGGCAGATCAGACCCCAGTGTCTAATTAGACACCAGCTCTGGAGTGGGTTTTACTAAGCCCACGCTTTGCCACAGGCTGTAGGGAGCAGGGAGGGCTCAACTTATTTTATTTTTCTGGTTTTTTCCTCCTTTCTTGGTGATTTGTCAGGCACACAGTAGTGGGGGTGTGAGCAGCAGCATCTCCCCCTGCTCTTGGTGGGAGGAGAGGGCAGCAGAACATCCTCTGCTCTGGGGGTGTTGTTTCCCCCTCTGTTCAGGGGGGTATTTGGCATTTTTGGGGGTGAACAGCACACAGGGCTGTCTCATGGGCATCTGCTCCATGAAAGGCTGGATTTTGACATCTCCTCTGTGCTCCTCCTGAGCACCTGGGGCTGGAGCAGCTCTGAGGGTGGACTTGACAACCTTAATGATTCTTTTCCAACTTTAATGATTCTCCGAGTCTTCCTGCTCATTTTTGGCTGGGAATGAGAAGCTGTTCAGCTCCCCAGTGAATTTCCTGCATTCAGGAAGCATGGATGGCTGCTTTTTGCATTTTTGTGTGCCCAGCATCCCCTAAATATCGGGGATGGTGGGAACATCAAGGGCACCAGCTGCTCTGCTGGGGGGTTTGGTGGGCAAGCAGGAGATGGAGAGGCTTGGAGGGTGCTGCAGGTGTGGGAGGTGTCTGTGTCCACCTGGCTGAGAGGTGATGGTGCTGGAAAGGAGAGGGATTTGTGCTGCAGGATGTGATAGGGGAAGGGCTGGAACCCAGTGTCAAAACCAGCCTGGCTGTGGAAATTGGGATTTCAGGGTGCCTGAGCTGGGCTCAGGCACAGCTGGTTTGGAAGTTGGAGCAAACTCTGTTCTCCTCAAGCTGTGAAGGGTCACCTTCCCCTCCCAGGGATGTTCTGGGGCTTCACAGGTTTTTCATTACAAAAGGCAAACAAGCTCACCCGTGGTGCTCAGAGCAGAGAGGAATCAGCTGCCAGCCTGCAAGTGCCTAAAGCACAGCAGTGGGGAGAGGCTCCTGATGTCCCCTTTGCTGTGCTCACAAGGGGGCCCAGCGTGGGGGCACTTGTGCTCCTGAGGGTCACAGAGCAGAAGGGACTTGGAAAATCATCTCATTGCAACCCCCTGGAACAGCAGGAACGCCTTCCACAGCACCACTGAATTTCCAGCTGCAGCAGTGGGGAAACACAGTCAGTGTGGTGGGGATGGAAACAGGATTCTTCGGAAATTCAGAAGGAAATTCAGCTGGAGCTTCACTGAATTCCAGCTTCTTCCCCCCTCCTCCATCTCTCCAAAGACAGATGGAGGTACAGCTCTGTCTGAGGAATAATAAAAATGATTTCTGAAGGAAAACAAAGCCCCCCAGCCCTCTCTTGTGCGGGGAGGGAGGAAATAACTGGGTGAATGAGTAGCCACAAATATTAGCATTTCAGAGAGAGCTGCTGGATGGAGATTGTTCACCACCGGGCGGGCTTTAATAGGAGTGATAAGGTTTGCTTTTGTTCTGGGGCTCTTCCTTAATCAGCCTGTCTCCTCCTGATTTTTCTATCGGTGCACTCCATCAGCCCAACTTTCATGTGCTGAGTCCCAGCTGCAGCAAATCTTGTTAGAATGGCCTTGTTCAAACACAGGCACGGGGTTTGCTCCCTAGAGCTGCACCGAGGCTGGATGGAGTGTGGGGCTGCAGGAATCAAAGCACTCCTCAGCCTGTGTATTTTATAATTCATTGCATAGCTAAGTTGTGGAGTATTTTTTTTTTCTCTCCCCTCTAACAAGCTTGAAGCCTTTTCTTCCATATCTAAAGGAATATTATCCGAGGAGGCATTTGGGTGAGGGGGTTTGGAGACCTGCTGCTTTCCCTGTATCCTTTGTCAGCGGTGGAACAGCTTCCCTGTGCCTTATTAGTATTGCACTCTTGCATTTCTTTTATATCACAGCCCTCTGCAAATAAAATTTTCAAAAGCTGCTGCTCTTGCCACTGTGAGAGGCAGAAAATAAAAGATGATGGAGTCCTGGGGGGGTTTCAGCAGTCAGGTTAGCAAACACTGAAACAAAGAGTGGCACCGAGCCTTCCCCTAATTGAATCCCTGGTTAATTTGGTCCTTGGTTTAATTTGCCCCCTGCTCCAGATTCTCACTGAAAACAGCCCAAAACGTGCTTATTTATTTTTTTGTTTTGATCCTTGCCTGCCAGTGCTCCTGGATAATTCAGTCCCCAAAGGCAGGAGCTTGCTGGGGGAAGCTGGAGCTGGGGAATGTGGAGCCCCTGTAATTAGAGGATGACTCCAAAGGGTTATTTAGATCTTGCAGTTGGCTTTGGCTGCTCAGCACAGGCTGGGACCTGCCCCACTGTCTCTCACATCAGCTGCTCGTGTCGGGGCCCCCAGAGACTCCAAACTTGCCCAATTTTTTTCCACTCTCCTGCTTGTTTGGGCATTTTTAATGGAGCTGAAATTCAAACCCACAGAGAGCAGCAGCAGCAGCCGCCCAGGTGTCTGCAGGATCTGGAGACTTGAGCTGCCTCAGTGCAACTCAGTCCCTAATTAAACCTGCCTGGTGCTGCTAATGGAGATGAGTGCAAGGAGGAGAGGCCTAATGGACTTTCCATCCCAGGCTCCTGGCAAGGTTGTGGAGGTTTTCCCTCCCCATCCTGTTAACTTCATCTGGGGCTTGGGGAGGGGTGAGGAAGAGGAATATTGCACTTTGTGAAGGCTTTTTTTGGTAGGGAGCAGCACCAATTCCAACCATCAGACCCAGTGCCAGGGTGAGGGGTGTCACAGACATCTTTTATGAAAAATCCTTTCCTTAGGATTTTTCCTCTTGAGAAGCTGAGGGGCCTCAGGGACAAAATGTAACCAATGGTTATCTGCTGCTGTGGAATGCAACAGGGGCATCTGGGATTGGTCTCATGTGGTTGTTTCTAATTAATGGCCAATCACAGCCCACCTGGCTTGGACTCTCTGTCTGAGACACAAGCCTTTGTTATCATTCCTTCTTTTTCTATTCTTAGCCAGCCTTCTGATGAAATCCTTTCTTCTATTCTTTTAGTATAGTTTTAATATATATCATAAAATAATCAATCAAGCCTTCTGAAACATGGAGTCAGACCCTCATCCTCAGACCCCTGTGAACACCAGCACAGAGGGTGGTGATGATCCAGCAGTGGAGCCACCATTGGTGCCATTGCCCACCAGGAATGGTGGCAGCAACCGGGCACTCAGAGTCCTGCTGAATGAGCAAACCAGCCCTGAGAGAGCTCAGAAATGGCATTCCTGATGTGTTCTGTGCTTGGATTCCCCAGATTCCTCCCCGGAAGCACAGCCCAAGTACATCAAAGGTGGCAAACGCTACGGGCGCCGTTCCCTGCCGGAGTTCCAGGAGTCCCCGGAGGACTTTGCTGAGGTGACAGTCATCGAGCCACTGAGCGAGGAGCCTGCCCACATTGCTGCCAGCCAGGAGGTCAGCAGGGAGGGGTGGGTGCTGGGCTGCCCTTGTCACCTCTGGGCATGGCTGCTGCCCTCATCCAGAGGGGTCGGGATGTGCTTGGAGCCTTCCCAGTGAAGGCATTGGCTGCTCTCCTAGGATTGGTGTTGGTGTGGCCTTGTCACCTCTGGACATGGCTACTCCTCACATCCAGAGGGGTTGGGATGTCCCAGTGCCTTTACTGGCACTAGGGTGGGTGTTGGGGTGGCCCTGTCACCTCTGGACGTGGCTGCTGCCCTCATCCAAAGGGGTTTGGGATTTTCCAATGTCTTTACTGGCTGCCCTCTTTGCCTTTCCCTAGAATTGGTCATGGGGTGGCCTTGTCACCTCTGGACATGGCTGCTCCTCACATCCAGAGGAGTTGGGATGTGTTTGGAGCCTTCCCAGTGAAGGCATTGTCCTCTGTCCTTGCTAGTCTCTAGGATGGGTGTTGGAGTGGCCTTGTCACCTCTGGGCATTGCTGCTTCTCACATCCAGAGGGGTTTGGGATGTCCCAGTGCCTTTACTGGCCACTCTACTTGCCTGTCCCTAGGATGGGTGTTGGGGTGGCCTTGTCACCTCTGGACATGGCTGCTGCCCCCATCCAAAGGGGTTGGGATGTGCTTGGAGCCTTCCCAGTGAAGGCATTGGCTGCTCTCCTAGGATGGGTGTTGGGGTGGCCTTTTTATCTCTGGATGTGGCTGCTGCCCACACCTAAAGGGGTTTGGGATGTTTCAATGCCTTTACCTGCCATTCTCCTTGCCTGTCCCTAGGATTGGTGTTGGGGTGGCCTTGTCACCTCTGGACACGGCTGCTGCCCTCATCCAAAGGGGTTTGGGATGTCCCAGTGCCTTCCCTGTCCCTAGGATTGGTGTTGGGGTGGCCTTGTCACCTCTGGGCATGGCTGCTGCCCACACCTGAAGGGGTTTGGGGTGTCCCAGTGCCTTTCCTGGCCGCTCTCCTTGCCTGTCCCTGGGGCTGAGCCATGCCAGGCGTGGCTCCCTTGCTCCGTGGGAAGTGGGGAGGGAGCTGGGCCCGTGCTCCTGGCTGGAGCGTGGGCCAGCAATTAGGAAAGGGCAGAGCTGCTGCCCCCGTGGCTAACGAGGAGGTGTGGGCTGGGAGCAGCCTGGGCACGTCCACATCCATTAGTGCAGCTGCCAAAAGCTGGCCATGGCTCCAGCAGAAGGCATGGGGGACAAGGGGTGCTGGGCAGCCAGCAGCTGCTTTGAGACAGTGGCTTCTAATTGCTCCAAAAACAATCCCCATTCCTGGTTTTGTGCTCCAGAGCTGTGGCTCTCTCTGTGCCAGTGAATCTCCTCTTGCTTCCCCAGACAGGAAAGCCAAGGGAGCTGAGTGCTTGGGATTGGTGCTGTGTGTTAGAGCACAGCCACAACAGCGCTGCCCTGGAGCTGGGCTGCTTCCAGCCTGCCCTGCTGTGCCAAGTATTGTTGATTCAGGAGATGTGGTGGGAGTTTTCCCACTGGGAAGGAGAAGCACTGCTACTTTCTCCCTCCTCTGTCTCGTGGCCTCACTTGGAGCCTCTGCAGCCGCTGTTGTAGGGGGACACCCAGCCCTGTGTGAGAAAGCAGGGAAGGAATTTCCAATTCCCATGGTTTCAGTGTTATTCCTATGCAGCTGAGCTTAAAAATGATAAAAAAAACCCCAAACCAGCACCTCAAAGAAGGGTTTTCCCTGCTGCTGGTGACCTTTGCTCAGCACCACAGGGATGCTCATCCATCTCCTGGTGCTGGCCACATGGGCTGCCCTGACCTTGGAATCGATGTTAATCCTCCCACACTCCCCAGGGAAGGGCTGTCCTTGCTGGAAGGGGCTGCTCTAACCTCACCCCTTGGTTTTAGCTGTCACAGAGGTGTAAAGGGCAGTCCATTAACAAGGTCAGTTAATTAACCCAGCTGTTGTAACCACACTGTGGCTGGGGGCTGGATCAGTCTCCTGCTGGGGGTGCTTGTTGCACCTTTTGGGCTGCTGGGATGGTTAATTCCCCTGCAACTGGAGCAAAAATCAGGCTAAACTTGTGAAACCCCAACTTTATCAGCATCTCCAAAGCAGATCCTCTTGGTATGCATGGGAAGGACTTGCTGGAAGGTGCTGAGGGGTCCCAGGGGGGTGTTGGAGGCTCCTGATTCCCTGGGATCTGGCCAGGGATCAGCCCTTGCCCAGTTCTCTGTGCTGTGTGTGCAAACACAGCCCCCAGCCTGAGAACTGGGGCAGGGTGGCTTAATTGGTGCTTGCTCCCAGGCAGTGCCAATTAAAAGGGCTCAGGCTGTGTCTGAGAGGTTTCCCTCCCTGGTAAACACGAGGGGAAGGGCTGGAAGGCAGCTCTGGGAGGGGAAAGGCTGGAAAGCTGCTCTGGGAGGGGAAAGGCTGGGAAGCTGCTCTGGGAGGGGAAAGGCTGGGAAGCTGCTCTGGGAGCAGCTGCCCAGGGAGGCTCCACCTCCATCCCCGGGGGGTTTCAGGTGCTGCTGGATCAGGTGATGAGCAGCTGGGCCTGGATTTGGCATTAACCCTGCTGTGGTGGGTTCCTGAGGGTCCCTGTGACCTGCAGGAGCTTGTCCCCATGGATGGTGGCTGTGCTGGCTTCCAGTCCTCCCTGGGGAGCATCCATCACCTCCCCTTCCCCAGCTGCTGCTCTGCTCTGGCAGGGGTCCCTCCTATTTGCAGGTTCCTGGAATTCCAGAGTGGTTTGGGTTGGAAAGGACCCTAAAGCCCCTCTCATTCCAGCCTTCTACCCCAGGCAGGGACAGTTTCCACTTGTCCAGGTTGCTCCAAGCTTTGAGGTTTTAGAATCTGCTGGCACATCCCAATTCTGTCCCTTCAGTGCCACCTGCTCCCATGCTCTGTGTGTTTGTGAATTGTTTCCAGCATGGCCTGGCTCATTGGGAGGGTTGAAACTCCTGCTTTGGGTTCTTGATGTGAGATTCCCAAAGTGGGACTGTCCTGGAAAGCCAGGATTTGTGATTTAACAGCTCAGGAAAGTGCCCACTCCCAGAAAAAGTGCATTGCTGGTGTGACCCGTGCTTTGGAGCTGAGGGCACCTGGCAAAGTGAGGTGTGGGGATTTGACAGCTTTTTTTGGGGGTCTCTGCTCAGCCCAGGGAGCTGCAGTGGGGATCTGGGAAGAACAAAATCCATCAGCACTGGGAAGAACAAACTCCATCAGCACTGGAAAGCCAGGATTTGTGATTAAGATAGTGCCCGCTCCCAGAAAAAGTGCCTGACTGGTGTGACTGGTGCTTTGGAGCTGAAGGTACCTGGCAAAGCAAGGTGTGGGGATTTAAGACTTTTTTTGGGGTCTCTGCTTTGCCCAGGGAGCTGCAATGTGGATCTGGGATAAACAAAATCCATCAGCACTGGAAAGCCAGGATTTGTGATTAAGATAGTGCCTGCTCCCAGAAAAAGTGCCTGACTGGTGCTTGGAGCTGAGGGCACCTGGCAGAGTGAGGGATTTGAGAGCTTTTTTTGGGATCTCTGCTCAGCCCAGGGAGCAGCTGCGTGGATCTGGGAAGAGCAAACCCCATCAGCACCGGGGCTCACCTCGTGGCATGTGCTGCTGATCATCATTTTAATTAGCAATATATTCCAGGGCAGAACAAAGGTCTGGCTGGCTGGAGCAGATGGCAGGGGGGACAGAGAGGTGCAGGCTGCTGCTGCCTCATTGTGGGCAGGGCCCACGGCCCAGGCTGCAGATGCGCTCGGAGCCATCTGCTCCCCGCACGCGCCTCCCCGGGGATCAGGCATTCCTGGCACCCCCTGCCTCTGACCCGGGGCCAGCTGAGGCCCTGCTGGGGCTGGGGGACAATGAGAGCCTGACATGGGCCTGTCCCACCCACCCTGGCCCCTCTTTGTCCCCTCCCGGTGGTGGCTGACCCCGAGCACACAAAGGCACAGGAGGGAGGGAGGGGAGGGCACACGAGCACCCCAGCCCAAACCCCCTGGCTTTGTTCAGCCTCTTGGGGTTGATGGTGTTGATGGAGTTGTTGTGGTTTTGTAGAATGCCAGAGCCCCTCTTGGGGTTGTTGGTGTTGATGGAGTTGTTGTGGTTTCGTAGAATCCCGGAATGGTTTGGGTTGGAAGGGGAGCTTAAAGCTCATCCCATCCCACCCCTGCCATGGCAGGGACACCTTCCACCATCCCAGGTGGCTCCAAGCCCTGTCCAGCCTGGCCTGGGACACTTGCAGGGGTGGGACAGCAGCAGCTGGTGTGGTTTTGCTGAAAGTGCTTGAAGTGAGGGGGTCTGGTGCTCAATTAATCTGATTCTTTATAAAAGTGTGCATGTTGCTTGTGCAGAAGGACTGGGACACAGAGGATCTGCCTCCTGAGCATCACTGCCAGCTTCCCCTCAGTGTCCCACTGTCCCCAAGGAGGAGGATGGGTGGCTGCAGGGTGATTGCTCTGGCACCCAAGCCAACCCTCTCTCTGCACAAAGTTTTCTGCATTTTCAGGTGGCAATTTCATAGAATCCCAGAATGGTTAAAGCCCATCCAGTCCCATCCCCTGCCACAGGCAGGGACACTTTCCACTATCTCAGGCTGCTCCAAACCCCATCCAGCCTGGCCTTGGACATTTCCAGGGATCCAGGGGCAGCCACAGCTGCTCTGTGCAATCTGTGCCAGGGTTCTGCCATTCTCTTTGTGCAGAACTTCCAGGGCTGGGATTTAATGGCACCTGTTGCCTCAGCTCCTGCATTTTGTCCCTTGTGGGATGTTGTGATGCTGTGGCAGGGAAGGGCCCTTGCCTGGTCCTGCAGCTGAAACAGAAACAGCAGCAGAGCTAAAAAAAGTCCAGTGCCTTAATTCAGTTTCCATGGCAACGTTGTAGATTAATGGCTTTTAGCTGTAATCTGAATGAGAGCTATTGAACTTTTCTGTGGTGATTTAGAGCCTCTTTATGTCCTGGGTGACTTTGACTCCAAATCCATCAGTCACGTGCAGGCAGAAGGATCCACTTGTCCCAGTGCGGGAGCAACATCTGCCACTGCCAAAGCAAAGTTCATGTTGTGGGAGTAAATACCCTGGGCTGCTGCAAGGGATGAGACAACGTGTAGTACATGAGGAAATCACCTTAAATGCTGTGCTTTTGCTCCTGGGGCTGCCTGGGCTGATGGGGTGATGCCAGAGGGAGCAGGATGGTTTAAGACCACCAGAGAGTGGATTTATTTTCCCTCTGTTAAGCTCTTGTTGGCAGCATAGCTCTCTCCTGATACAGAGCTGCTCTCAGTGCAGGAGGTTTGAGTAGGGCTTGGCTGACAGAATGCAGTGCTGGAAGGAAGGGATCACCCAGCCCTGTGATCTTCCTGCATCCCCATCCCCTCAGCCATCAATCCCTCCAAGGAAAGCAGCGTGGTTGCCCTCTGAGCAAACCCCTGCCTTGCTTCCAGCACCCTGCCAGGCCCTGCTCTGTCCCCTCTGCTGGCTCACTGTGGGGCTTTGGGCACCGCTGGGCTCTCCCACCACAGAGCAGGGCAGCATCAAAGAGCCCTGGATCCCCAGCCCAGCCTGCAGGGAGATGAAAGCCTGGCAGCCCTGCTGGAGCCCTGCAGCTCCTTGGCTGCTGATCCCAGAGTCTCTTTCATTCAGGGGATGCCTTGCAATCAATAACTCAGGAGCTTTTTGTTTTCTCCCCAGCACTGGAAGACGCGAGGCAGCGAGGAGTACGAGGCCGAGGGTAAGAGCAGAGAGCAGCACCTGGGTCTGCCTGTTCTCATTGCTTGTTCTCCTTTCAGCTTTGAAGAGGGATCAGAGGGGCTCTGGGTGCGTGGAACACCCAGCCTGGCTGCTGCACAGCTTGGGGAGGTGCAGCTGGGGATGAAAGCTGAGGCAGGGCCCATCTTGTGCCGTGCCCCCCTGGCCTCTTCATCCTGCTGTGGGTATTCCTGGTCCCCCTGCCCTGCTCCCCATCCTGCCCGGGGGGCTCTGGCTGTAGTGGAGCCTGGTGGGCACTAGATGTCAGCAGGGACCAGTCGTTAAAAGTTCCCTAATTGTCACAGAATTGTAAATTCCTGGAATGCTTTGGGAGGGAGCTTAAAGCTCATCCAGTCCCACCCCTGCCGTGGCAGGGACACCTTCCCCTATCCCAGGGTGCTCCAAGTCCTGTCTAACCTGGCCTTGGGCACTTCCAGGGATGGGAAATTTCTCTGGGCACCTTCATCTGTGCCAGTGTTCTACCATCTTCATCAGGAGGGTGACAGGAAGGGCATGGAGCTGTTGGAGGCACAGAGGGATGCATCTACATCCTTTTAATTACATCAGCACCTCTTCCACATTTCAGCTGCTCTCTAACCCTTTCCCCATCCAAAGGGGCCAACTCTTTTCTCCTAAAGCTGCTTTTCCAGCCCCAGGAGATGGCCTTGCAGCTCCCTTGATCCCATAACAGCCCAGGGGAGGGAGGGGTCCCTTCCCCATCCATGCCAGCAGCTGAGGGAGCTCTGCTGCCCTTCCCTGACCACCAGCCCACATTGGCCATCAGACTCATCCACATTCCCAAAGATGCTTCTGCCCACAGCCCCAGCTGCTGCTCAGTCTGCACCTGGGAGGGATGAAAAGCTGTGTGGATGTGGCACTTGGGGACATGGGCCAGTGGTGGCCTTGGCTGTGCCAGGGAACAGTTGGACTCCATGGTCTTAGAGGTTTTTTTCCCAATCTCAGCAATTCCATGGCTCTGTGGACATCAGGCTCCTTCCCCTGGTGGCACAGGTGAGTGAAATGCTGAGCAGAGTCTGGTACTGCTGGGACCAGTATCCACATCCTGAGCCCCAGAGTGTGCTCTGGACCCAGACAAGCGATCCCTTGTGATCTGCAGAGGCAGGAGGGAGCTGTGCCCAGGGCAGCTGCAGGTTCTCTGCGGGGTGCAGAACCCCAGATGTTCTGCTCCTCACCGCAGACACCGGATCAATCTCCCCCCTTCCAGGGCAGCTGCGCTTCTGGAACCCAGACGACCTGAACGCCTCCCCTGGGACCTCCCCGAGCCCAGACTGGATTGAGGAGAAGCTCCAGGAGGTGTGTGAGCACCTGGGCATCACCAGGGATGGCCACCTGAACAGGAAGAAGCTGGTGTCCATCTGTGAGCAGCACGGGCTGCACGCGGCGGCCGGCGAGGTGAGCCACCCATCCCAGCCCTGCCCTGCCTGGCCTTTGCTGTCCGCCCCAAAATCCCTCCTGGGATTCACCCCAAGCTCAGCTGGCTGCCTGGGAAGGAGTTTCCAGCTCCAGCTGCTGGTTCTCAGTGGGGTTTTTGGTCCCAAACCATCAGGAGAAGGCAGCTGAGGCTGAGCCGTGGCATGCGCGCTCCTCACGCAATCACGGAGGGATCTGGAATTTAAAAGCATGGCTTGGATTCCAAACATGTCTCCTTAATCCTAGGAATTTTCTTGCTAGACAGCAAATATGGGTTAAATATTCAGAGGTGGTTGCTTTTGACTTTGGGAAGGCCTGTGGGTGTTTCTGTCCTGCAGCAAGAGCCCACGAGAAAATGAAATCTTTAACAACAAAAAAAAAGGCTCTTATCAACTTAGGATTTAGTTTTATTAAAAAAGTCAGATTTTTTTGCATCTTAAGATAACATGGTTGGTATTAATTTCCTCCACAAAACATGTTCTTGAGCAGGTATTCCTTTGCAGCATCCACAATGAAATGCTTTCAGGGTATTAAGGCAGAAAATAATACCTGAAAAGATAAACTGTAGACAAAGAAATAGTGAGGGACTAATCTGAACATCTCCAGTCCTACTTTTGAGCAAGCAGCATGCCCTGAAGCATCAAACAGATTTATGATAACCTTGCAGTGTCTTAGAGGTTTTTTTTTTTGCCTGGTCACTTCCAGCTGCTCAGGGTTTGGCATCTCAGTACCTCGAGCTGAATTCCTGAGGTCACACTGGCTCAGGGGCAGAATGAAATGAGGTTTTTTTCCTTGCTGCCTCATTAAACAGCAGCTCCAAGATGACCAGGAGCTTTTTTTTCATGCTGTATGTGTGCCTGCAATTTTCCACATGGAGAATATGGAAATGTGTTAGGCTGATGTAGCAGGTAATTCTTGCTTTGCTCTTTTTGGAGCCTTGGGAATAGAATGTTTGCTCTGTGCCAGATTTCTTTTGGCCTTTTACATGATTTCTGTCTCCTTGCAGGTGCTTGAAGAGGTGCTCCATAACCTGGAGCAAGATGGGACCATGAGCATAGAGGATTTCTTTTATGGCCTGTTTAGAAATGGGAAATCCCTCACCCCCTCCGCATCCACTCCGTACCGGCAGCTGAAACGCCACCTCTCCATGCAGGTGAGAAAGTGAGAGGAGAATCCTAGGGTAAAAGGAGCCAGGAGAACTCCTGAACAATTCCCAACCCAGCCTGTCTCCTCCTCTTCCTCAGTGTTTGTCCCTGCAGGGGCAGCTGTGAGGCAGGAGGTGGTGGCAGTGAGCTGCTGCCTGCCCTGCTCCAAAAGCAGATTTCAAACTCTTGCTCAGAAAAAACACTTTTGGGGGAGCCAGAACACAGAACACCCTCATGGGAAAGGGGACATGGCTCCACTTTGAAGTTCTGTGGCTTGGAGAGGGCTCTGGCAACCTGTGGAGTGCAGTGGTAGAGCCTTGTAGAGTTCCAGGGTGGTTTGTGTTGGAAGGGACCTTAAAGCTCATTCCAACCCCCTTCCACTATCCCAGGGTTCTCCAAAGTCCATCCAGCCTGGCCTGGAACATTTCCAGGATGGGGCATCCAGTATAAACTGGGTGCAGGGGGAAGCACTGCCTGGGATAGGCTGGGGACATGCAGCTCCCACATCTCCACTCCAATTTGTGCATTTTTTCCTGAGAGAGAGTTTGAAATCTGCTCCCTGTCTTTGCCTGGAAGCTGAGGGCTCTACCCAAACCACTCTACAAGTGCTCCTTGCAGCTGTTTTAGGCAAAGTGACATTCCAAACCAGAAGTGAACACTGTGAAACCCTTCTGGAGCAATGAGGGCACCTCTGGAACACTGCTCCTCCTGGGATTTGTTTTAAATCCCGAGCGCCTGCTTGAGGTCAGCAGCGACGCTCCCGCCGGGTTTTGCTTGGCCGTGAGGAAAACCAGAGCTTAATCCTTAATCTCTGGAGCAGTGCTAGGGGAAATTCCATTGGTGAAGCCCTGTGGGCACTGCCTTTGCCCTGTCTCATCCTCATCCTCTCTCACAGTCCTTCGACGAGAGCGGCCGGCGCACGACCACGCCCTCGGCCATGCCCAGCACCATCGGCTTCTCCCTCTTCTCCAGCCTGGATGATGGCATGGGCTATGGCTGTGTGGAGGGGGTCCTGGACTGCTGGCACCAGGAGGGCATAGAGAACAGCCAGGAGATCCTCAAGGTAACCCCCAGCTGCATCTCACCCCTGCTTTTATGTGGATATTTTATCCCTTTGTTATTTTTTTTCCTTTCCAAAGTCTCTGTTTTTTACCCCTTTTAAAACTTCCCACAGAGAAGCTGTGGTTGTTCCATCCCTGGAAGTGTTCAAGGCCAAGTTGAACAGGGCTTGGAGCAGCCTGGACAGTAGAAGGTGTCCCTGCACATGGCAGGGGGTGGAACTGGGTGATCTTTAAGATCTGTTCCAACCCAACACATTCTATGATCCTGTAAAAATTCCCAGTGGTAGTAACAAGAGTTCTGGGAAATTTCCAATCATTTCCTTTATGGTCATCCCATTTTATAATTTTTAATGATAAAAATAGTGGAAGGTGTCCCTGCCCATGGCAGGGGGTGAGACTGGATGATCTTCAAGATCTGTTCCAACCCAACAGATTCTGTAATTCTATAAAAATTCCCAGTGCTAGTAACAAGAGTTCTGGGAAATTTCCAATCATTTCCTTTATGGTGCATCCCATTTTATCATTTTTAATGATAAAAATACACCATGATTTCCAGCATAGCTTGAAGAGGTCACCTACATTTGTTAGGAAGCAATTTAATTCCTTTTCCTCCCTGAATAGCTGCAGCTGCAAACCTCTGAGCACTGGGGTGACCTGAATTATTGCTTGTGCTGAGGTGGAGGACAGCACTTGAAACCCTGCCCAGTCCCCAGTGTTCCATTAGAGAGAGTGAAAGGGTGATGGGGATGAAATCAGATACCTGAATGAATCCATCCCTGTCCATCTCATCAGAAGCTGTGGGTGGCAGAAGATCATTTCATGTGACCATCACTGGATTCCAGCAGTGATGAGTGTGATTCTCCTGGCTTTTAAATATCCATGTGGCTAGAGAGCAGCCAGGCTGGAATAACCTGTGCCATGGCTCAGGATTTAAACCCACTCACCACTTTGCACTGGTTGAGAAGGTGGGACCACCTTCACCAGGTTTGGGTGTCCACCTTCGCTTTGTTGCTTTCCACTGGAAAATTGCTTTGTGCTGGTGTCCCTGGGGTGGTTTCTCCAGTGTCCCAGCCCCACCACAAGTGCTTTTGCTTTGTGCTCCTGCAGGGTTTAGGTTGGAAAAGTCCAGCTGTCAGCTCAACCCTTGTTCAACACTAAAGCCCATCCCCAAGTGCCACATCCATGTGGGTTTGGAACACTTCCAAGGAAAGAAAAGGCCTTTCTTCAAGGCTTGGAGCAGCCTGGGATGGTGGAAGGGGGATAGAATCCTACCCCATGGCAGGGGGTGGAACTGGATGACCTTTAATGTCCCTTCCAGCTGAACCATTCTGGCGTTTTACAAAATCCCAAGCAGCTGCTGATGATATCTTGCTTTCTGAGAGGTGGGATCCTCCCATCAGACCCCCCTGCAGGGCTGCCCCTGTGTTCCCTCAGTTGCAAGAACTGGTTTTGTTTGCCACGAGCATCCCCAGCCACCCCCTCGCAGCAGCTGAGTCCAGTCTCATTAGATCCTGCAGGGAATTGGTGCAGTTCATCAGTCCTGGGCTTAATTTCCTGTTGGTCTTGCAGCACGACCAGGACATTTCCCATCTCCACTGCTGGCAGCAGCTCTGTGGAGGGAGGTGGCAGAGATGTCTGGTTTGTTGCCCTCGGGGCGTTTGTGACAGATTCATCAGCCAGCAAAGATCCCTTGTGAGCCTGCTCGTTCTGCCCTGTCAATCCCTGCAGAAATGTCTCCAGGCTCCTGCAGGAAGCTCATTCCACTCAGAGGATTTGTTGTTTCCACAGGCTCTGGACTTCAGCTTGGATGGGAAGGTGAACCTGACGGAGCTGACGCTGGCGCTGGAGAACGAGCTGCTCATCACCAAGAATGGGGTGCACCAGGCAGCCCTGGCCAGCTTCAAAACAGAGATCAGGCACTTGATGTGAGTGCCAGGGGTGCCTGGAGGTGCTGCTCCCTGCCCTGGTGGCCAAGCAGGAGCTGAGGGAGCAGCTGAGGGGGGCTGGTGCTCCCAGGGGCTCTGGGGTGGCACTGGAAGGCTCAGTTCTCTCTTGGAGTGCTCAGAAATTTCCAGCGTTCTTGTTTTGCCTGGGAAAAACACTGAAACCTCCAAGGGGTGCAGAAAAATGTGGTTAAAAATTAAAAATGGAAGCAGCAGGCTGTTCCCAGTCTGGGAGTGGGCACTGCTGTCCACAGTGGCCATTGATGGCCAAGGAATGCACAGCTCAGGGCAGAGGCTGGTGGAGTTTATCAGTGCCTTGGATCCAAACTGATCTGGGGCTTTGCAGAGGTTCTGCCATGTGGAGGTGAGGTACAAAATCTGTACCACTCTAAATCCCAGTGGTTTTCCTTTGAAAGTCCACACAGTTTGACTTTGTGCTGGACTCGCTGTATTTATGGTTTCTGTATTGAAAAAGAAAGCTCCAGGGAGAGCTCAGAGCCCCTGGCAGGGCCTGAAGGGGCTCCAGGAGAGCTGGAGAGGGACTGGGGACAAGGGATGGAGGGACAGGAGCCAGGGAATGGCTCCCAGTGCCAGAGGGCAGGGATGGGTGGGAGATTGGGAACTAGGAATTCCTGATGTGAGGGTGGGGGAGCCCCTGGATCCCTGGCAGTGCCCAAGGCCAGGTTGGACAGGGCTTGGAGCAGCCTGGGACAGTGGGAGGTGTCCCTGCCATGGCAGAGGCTGGAACAAGAGGGTCTTGAAGGTCCCTTCCAGCCCAAACCATTTCAGGATTTGAATCTGGGGGCTGGACCACAGCTGAGGGTCTCAGGATCTGTGGGGACACCAAGACATGTCCAGAGGTGTTTGGGTAGAGGTTGAAATCCAGTGACTAAATGCAGTTGAGGAGACCCTTGGAGACCTTTCCAAGCTTCTCTGATGTTTCAAATCCCCTTTTTGGGGGGAAGCAATGAGGGCTGACCTAATGCAGGCTGGCTGTGCTCTGCTCTGCCCAGGGAGAGGTTTGACCAGGTGGCCAGGGAGAAGGAGAAGCTGCGCTCGGACCTGGAGAAGGCAGAGAAGCTGAAATCCCTGATGGCCTCAGAGGTGGACGATCACCACGCGGCCATCGAGCGCCGCAACGAGTACAACCTCAGGTGGGGCAGCTGCAGCACCCACCCATCATCCATCCATCCATCCACCCATCATCCATCCATCCATCCATCCACCCATCCACCCATCCACCCATCCATCCATCCATCCATCCATCCACCCATCCATCCATCCACCCATCATCCATCCACCCATCATCCATCCACCCATCATCCATCCACCCATCATCCATCCATCCATCCATCCACCCATCCATCCATCCACCCATCATCCATCCATCCACCCATCATCCATCCATCCACCCATCATCCATCCATCCACCCATCATCCATCCATCCACCCATCATCCATCCATCCACCCATCATCCATCCATCCACCCATCATCCATCCATCCACCCATCATCCATCCATCCACCCATCATCCATCCATCCACCCATCATCCATCCACCCACCCATCCATCCACCCACTCATCCATCCACCCACCCATCCATCCACCCACCCATCCATCCACCCACCCATCCATCCACCCACCCATCCATGCATCCATCCATCCATGCATCCATCCATCCATCCATCCATCCATCCACCCATCATCCACCCATCATCCATCCACCCCCATCCATCCATCCACCCACCCATCCATCCCTCCCTCCTGGGCAGGGGCTTGGTGACCACCCAGCTCCACCCCCAGCAATATTTGTCACCCTCTTCCTTGTGGGGGTTCCAGTTGTGGGTTTCTCTGGGTCTGGATTGAAGGCACTTGAGACAGTGGTTCATGCTCAGACTCAGGTGTTTATTATTCCTTATCAGTAAAAGTCTCACTGCTGTGAGTTCAGCAGCAAGGCACAAAATGGCCAACAATCTCTTGTTCCAAGGTCTTTTAAGACTAAACCATCCAATTAAGAGCTGACACCTGGATTATTTCCCCTTTTAACCCAAAAACTGATCCCACAGAGCCCCCAGTGCAGCCTTTTCTGCCCAATTCCAAAATGCCACCCAAACCCATGGAGAAGGAGGAAGAAGCAGCATGAAGGAGAAACCCAGGATGACACCCTGTGCCCTCCATCTTGTTTCCATCCACAACATACTAAAAACCCCAAAACCTCAATTTCTCACCAAATGATACATCTACACTGCTCTCCATAATCTATTTCACACTTTTGTGGGTTCCAGTCTATCTTGAAGTCTGGGAAACTTTCTCCATGAATGAGGGTCAGAGTCAGAGCTGCCCTGGGGGTCAGGGCACCCCAGAGCAGACAGAGAAACATTCCCTGGCTTTCCACACTTGCTCTAACAGGCTCCTGTCCCCCTGGCAGGAAGCTGGATGAGGAGTACAAGGAGAGAATCTCTGCTTTGAAGAACGAGCTGCGCAGGGAGCGGGAGCAGATCCTGCAGCAGGCCAACAAACAGAGGCTGGAGCTGGAGCAGGAGATTGAAAAGCTGAAAACGGATGAGAATTACACCCGGGACCGCCTGGGCCTGGCCCTGAAGGTAACAGGGACTGAGCACAGCCAGGATTTCCCCCAAAATCAGGAGTGCCCTGGCACAGAGGGAATGACTCCTGAAAGGATGAGCTGTGGGCAATGTTTAGCTGGCCAAAAAGTCATTGAAGCAGCAAGGTAGGGCCATGTCCATGAGAATTGGTGTTTGATGGGTTGTTCCATGGATTCCTAACCTCCAGAGATCTCGAATCTCTGCTGCCATCACGTGCAGAGTGTGTGTGTGTGCACAGCTCTCAGGTGAGCTGTCATGCCAGGAGATAAAACATCTTGATTGAGTTTAAAATCCTCTTTTAAAAACAACCAAACTATGCAAAGCAAACTTGCTGTTAAGCCTTTTGATAATTTCTCAAAAGTCCAGTGTTCACACTTGCTGTGGCAGGAGTGGGTTGCGTGTGGATGAAAATAATTCCTAATTCCTGTCATCACCTGAAGCTTGGAATAGTGTCATGCTGGATTGGGAGTTACCCTTATTATGCTGTTTTTTTCCTCCTCCAAGTGCTGATCTGCTGTGGGGTTTTTTGTTTGCTGCAGGAAAACAGCCGCCTGGAAAACGAGCTCTTGGAAACAGGAGAGAAACTGGCTGAGTGTGAAAGTCTGGCAAACAAACTGCAGAGGAACTTGGAAAATGTCCTGGCTGAGAAGGTAAATCCCCCTCTTCCCAGTGGGGTTTCAGAATTAAATCATTTTTAAGTTGCTACATTGCAGCTGCCAGTTCAGCTGATAGCCAGAGGCTTTGGGGGTCTCTATCCAGATTATCCAGGCACAGCCTGCCTTGGTGACATGGGCTTCCTCCCAGCTAAGGAAAATACAGATATTCCACCTTGGCTGTAATTTTATTCCAATTAAACCACGGAGCTTTAAAATGAAGCAATCATCCTGAAGATCTGCAGGGATTTTTTTTTTTTTCCCCAGCACAGAGTTTTGGATGGGCCCAACTTACAGGTCCTTTCCTGGAGCAGTGAGGTTTTACATGGCATCACTGCTGGAATTAGGTGAAAATCGAGGTTGAACAGCTGTTCATGGCTGTATTACATTAAACTTTCAGAATATCAGCTTCTCCAAAGTTATTTAAGTTTGTGCAGCCATAGCCTAAGGTTCATATATTGGGATTTCCAGCCTTCTTGAAAGCTTGGGATTATTTACCACACTGAGACGTGCATATGCTAAGGTAGAAAGCTGTGATCTGCAATCAGAATGAGCATGAGAGCTGTGCTAGATGGCAGACAGGTTTTTTTGGGGAAGTTACTCATTCCCTGCTAGGAGGAAAGTGGACTTTCTTTATTTAAAATAATAATCCAGAGTGGAGAGAGAGGGGAGTGCAGGCTGCAGGACTGCTTGGGATGGCATCCATGCTGTCCTGAGCAGGGCTGCAGGGTGGGTGGGTGGATAACTGGGTGTTCCACTCCTGTGTTCCAGTTTGGTGACCTGGATCCCACCAGTGCAGAGTTTTTCCTGCAGGAGGAGAGGCTGGCCCAGATGAGGAGCGAGTACGAGCAGCAGTGCAGGGTAAGTGCAGCTGAGGCCTGGCTCCTGTGTCCACCAGCAACATCACAGAACCATTTAGGCTGGAAAATCCCTCTCAGGTGGAGTCCAGGCATTCCCCCAGCACTGCCAAGCCCTGCCCTGAGCATGTCCCCAAGTGCCACATCCTCACTGCAAGCAGCAGCACGAGGCAGGTTGGAAATCTCTTCCCACTGGCTGAGCTGAGAGGGTGAGGTGCCCCCAGGGTCCATGGGGCCCTGTGAATTCAGAGTTGCAGGAACTTTCAGGAGAAATAAAACACATCCACATTTTGCTGGTTGTCAGACCAGAAATATTTCTTTTAAAATAAACCTGAGAACAGAAAGTTTGCTTTCTCATCCATCTTGTGTACTTAAAAGACTTTAAGGTGAGCTTGCAGGTTTTCTATTTACACATCTGCTTTCTGATATCTGCAGAGGAACCAGCTCATCTGTTGCCCAGAGCAGCTGTGGCTGTCCCTGGATCCCTGGCAGTGTCCAAGGCTGGGTTGGATGGGGCTTGGAGCAGCCTGGGACAGTGGGAGGTGTCCCTGCCCATGGCAGGCGGTGGAATGGGATGAGCTGTGGAATCCCTTCCAACCCAAATAATTCTGTAATTCTGTGATCTGTTCTGCAGGGCCCTTTCCACTCAATAAAGGGCTGCCTTTGCTGTTGGATTGGAAAGCAGCACAGCAGCTCTCTTAGGAAGCTGCAGTTTAAAAGCAAAGATTGAGTAGAAATAGGAGTTGAATCGGTTCTTCTCAATACGCAGCTGATTCTTCTCTTTTTGAGGATGGCAGAAATAAGTCAGTACTCAAGGTTCACTTCCTGGGCCTTTCAGAGCTGCAGGATTGTGTGTTTGCACATTCAGGGAGCTGTTTTCCTCAATAACTGCTGTTCCTGGAGTGCAGTGCACAGCCCTTGGCACAAACCCTCGGGATGTTCCTCTGGCAGGCAGGAGGAAGGACCAGATGGTAAATTCAGTAATGAGGGGATCTCCTTCCTAATTTGATCTTTTGCTTCTGATTTGATTTTTTTTCAAGTAGCTGGTGTTTGAGGAGGCATTTCCCAACTGTTTGGAAATGTTACTAAAGCTGCTTTTTAATAAAAGGTCACAGGAAGAAGGAATAAAGGGAAAGCTCCTGCAGCTCCTGTTACACCTTCACCTTTGAGAGTTTGGGCTTGTAGAATCATCAGAGAATCCCAGAATGGTGTAGGTTGGAAGGGACCTTAAAAACCATCTTGTTCCCCCTCTGGCCATGGGCAGGGACACCTTCCACCATCCCAGGCTGCTCCAAGCCCTGTCCAGCCTGGCCTTGGACATTCCAGGGATCCAGGGGCAGCCACAGCTGCTCTGAGAATTCCATCCCAGCCCCTCCCCACCCTCAGAGTCAGGAATTCCTTCCCAATCTCCCATCCATCCCTGCCCCCTGGCAGTGGGAAGCCATTCCCCCCTTTTTGGCTGTGGCTCTGTGTTTATCGACACATAGCCTTATTCTATTAAGAATAGAATACTTTTCTATTCTTAGTATTCTTACAGAGTATTTTTACTCTGCTGTAATTCCCACCCAAACGTCCTGTGGTGGGACTGGGTGGGTGCTCAGCAGCCTTGGCTCCTTTTCACTCAGCTTTTTTTTGTTTTCCTCCCTCTCAGGAGCTGCAGGACCAGATTGATGAGCTGCACTCAGAGCTGCAGGAGTTCCGTGCCCAGGGCAAAGTGCTCAGGCCTGCCCTGAGAAATTCCTTGTCAGAGGAGTTTGACATTGACATGAAGAGCCATGGCACCAGTGGGATTGAGCCTGACCAAGGTGAAAGATCCCTCCTGTGGCACTGGGATCTGGGCTGCAGGTGTTTGTAACATCTTGGAGGTCATTCTGAGAAAAGCTTCCCTGTGAGAATTGGTCACCAAGTCTAATTTGGTGTTTAATGTTAATCTGGACTGGGACTGCTGAACCAAATTTAAAGCTGAAATTGAAGTTTGCAGTTCCTTGGCTGTGTTTGTGATGGGAGTTTGAGAGCTGCCAAACAAATTTGAATTGAGGGAGTAATTCTGTTGAGAATTATATATATTTATGTATTGTACAATTCATGTTTTTATAGTTATATAAATTATTACTTGATTATTTTTTCTGAAGGGCTCGGTTCAGAAGACTGCAACCCATTAAATATGAGCATAGAGGCAGAAATGGCCATTGAGCAGATGAAGGAGCAGCACCACAGGGACCTGCATCACCTCAAACAGGAGCTTGAAGACACAGTAAGTGTTGGAATGAGATGGTCCTGCAGGTCCCTTCCCACCCAAACCAATTTGGGATTCTATGATCCCAGGAAGAAATAAAGCTGAGCACTGATTATTCTTTCCAGGGAAATTAATATGGGATGCTGGAGTGTAAATCTAAATATCAGTAGAGTGAATATACAAAACTAGATGGAAATACTGATGAAAACATCCCTGTAGAATTTTCAGTGGAAAATGAACAAACCCATCCCATTTTCCCTCCTGCAGGTGAGCCATTATGAAAAGCAGCTGGATGAGACAAAAGCCCACTGGGAAAAGGAGCAAGAGGATCTGAGGCAGAAGTGTGCTGAGGAGATGAATGCCATGGAAAAGGAGATCACTGGCCTCAAAAATCAAATAGCAGAGCTGCAGGGAGAGGCAGCAGCGCTCAGAGAGCAGCAGGAGAAGCTCAACTGCAAACACAACGAGGAGAAAAACAAATTACAGCTGCATTTTGATGAGGAGAAAGCCAATCTGCAGGAAGTGCTGAGGCAGGAGCATGAAGATGATGTCAGGGCCAGAGTGGAGCAGCTGAAGGAGAAGTCCAGGCAGGACCGGGAGGAGCTGATGCAGAAGAGTGCCTGGGTGGAAGAGAAGATGAGAGCTGTGGTGCAGAGCCTGCAGGAGGAGAAGGGGGAGCTGGAGCAGGGCTTCCAGGAGCAGCTGCAGAGGCTGGCGGAGCTGCACGCCCTGGAGAAGGACGAGCTCCAGCAGGAGCTGCTGAGGAAGCACCGGCAGGAGCTGGAGGAGGAAAGGTGAGTGTCAGCCCTGGTGGGGACAGCGCTGGAGCCTGCTGAAACACCTCCCTGCTGGGCAACTCCAGTGTCCTGCTCTGTCCCACAGCTCTGGGCTGCTCTCCAGGGGTTTTTTTTTCCTCTTCTGACCTTTCTCAAGCAGATCTTGAGGTTCATTTTTAGCTCACCCAGAGGCAGCGATTGTGTTAATGCATAACCAGGAGTGATTAACTCGAGCTCTGTTCAGGATCCCTGTGCCCCCCAAATCCCTTTAAAACTCAGTAAGCTCTGGGTTTTCAGAGTTCTTTGCTGAAGAGGGAAAGGGGTGGCAGGGAAGTGCTTTTGTAGCCAATATGGAGTGTCAAAAGAAACTGAGGCCACCCTGGGGTGAGGGGGGTGAGAGTATTTGCCCCCCCAAAATCTGAGCACAGGAACTGAAGGGGACAAATTGCACATGAAACCTTTTCTGAGGACATTTCATGAGTTGTTGCACTTTTCCAAGGCAGCTTTTCTTTTTGGAGTTTCACCAAATTGCCTCGAATTTAACTTCCAGCTCCCAGAAACACCCATCCAATAGTCAGTGGATTAAAAAAAAAAAAAAAAGTAAATTTCCTACTTGTTTTATTCAGCCTAAAAAAGCCAGTTTAATCTCTGAGGTAGTTTAGTAATATCTTATGTTAACCATGTCTAGGAAAAAAATGGCAAGTGACTATAACAGAAGAGCATCTCATGCACAAACTCAGTTTTCTGTGGACACACAGACCCTTGTGAATAAATATGAAGAAACCCTGCAGAGCCTGGAAGGACGTTACCAGAGAGAGCTGCAGGACCTTGCTGAGCAGCAGAGAGAGGAGAAATCCCAGTGGGAGTTTGAAAGGGATGAAATTGCTCAGGAGGCTGCTGAAGCCCACGAGCAGCTGAAGGAAAGCTTGGCGAGTGAGAAGGCTTTTTGTTCTGCCCTGAGCCAGGAGAAGGATCTCCTGGAGAAACGTTTCAAGGAGGAAGTGAACAAGCTGGTGTGTGAGAGGGAGCAGCTGGAGAAGGAGCTGAGAGAGCTGAGGAATGCTGCCCAGGAGCAAGAGGAAAAGATGATGGAGAAGATAAACCAGCTCCAAAATGACCATGAGAAAGAGCTAAAGGAGAAAGATGAACAAATATCCACAGTGGAGCAAAATGGGAAACTGGTTAGGGAGAAGCTGGAGAGACTGGACAGTGAGTACAAGCGAGAGAAAGAAGAGCTCAATTCCAGACTTCTCGCTCTGGAGAGTTTAAACAGAGACATTTGTGAGAGAGCAGAGACAGAAAAGGCTGAGATGGGTTTGGAAGTCTCAGACCTACGAGGGAAAATCCAGAAACTGCAGTGGGAAACGCGGAGTTTCTCTGCCCTGCAGAGCCATTACAGGGCCCTGGAGAGTGAGTATGCAAAAGCCAAGAGCCAGATCGCTGCTCTTCCTGGTGCAGCTGCTCTGGGGGACGATGGGGATGTTCTCCAGAACCTGCAGAAGGTGCACGAGCAGGCAGTGAAGGAGAACGTCAGGATGGCTGCCCAGATCCTGAGGCTGCAGCACCGCCTGCGAGCGGCAGAGCAGGAGCTGCAGCCTCCCAGCCCCAGCTGCTCCCAGTCTGCCTCAGAAGCAGAGGAAATGGAGCCCAGCTTTGAAGGGTTGCCCAGTGATTGTCAAGATGTGGCCCTGGGAGCAGATTTCAGTGTCCTTCCACCTCTGGAGGCTGATGCTACAGACCTGGAAGAAATGTTGGAGGTGGATTGGGATCTGGAGGAGGGATGTGTGAAAGCCAGAGCTGGTGGCCACGCTGAGGCACAGGAGTGTTGGATCCAGGGATGTCAGGCGGCTCTGGATGCTGATGGCAGCCAGGATGGTGACAAGAACCTTTCTTGGGTGCCTCTGCTGTCAAAAAAGAGAGATCTGGAGAAAGTTCCCAGGCCAAAAGTGCTCCACAACAATGTCAAACAGCAGAAGGTTCATCTGCTAAATCACAGAATAGCTCCCAAAAAGAAAGGGCTTGTTTCTGATGCTTTGAAGGTGCAGGTGGAGCTGGAGAGGGCTGAAGAACTGAGTGAAGACTCTCTCCTGCTGGATCACACTCCTGGGACAGCAAACGGTGACCTGAAGAGTGTAATAGCTCAGCTGTGGAAAAGGATGGAAGAGCTGGAAGAGAGATCCATGGCACAGGCTGAACTTCTGTCCCTGCAAGAAGAAATTCAGGTAGAAAATGAGGATCTGAAGGCTGAAGTGATGCAGTTAATTGAAAAAAACGGAGTGCTGGAAGACAACCTGCGCAGGCTGAGGAGGCTTTGCTGTGAACAAAGAGAAAGTGAGGTGGAAAGCGTCAAGTTTGAAGATGAGAACACCAAATTCCTCATGCAAGGTAAAGAATTGGAAGATATTCAAGAATTGGAAGATATTCAAGAACTGGAGGATGTCCAAGAACAAGATGCTCAGGGCAACTCGGATGTGCCCGGTGACAGGAGAGGTGGGAGGCTGGAAGAACATCCCACCACAGTCTCGGGCCAGCAGGACAAGAACCCCCCAAGTGACAGCACCGTGACACAAGTGGGAAAAGCAGGAATGAGGGATCCCAGCCCCCAGGTGAAGGAGGGAGCTCTGGGTCCCCCAGAGGAGAGGAGGGCAGCGACCCAGGGCTTGCAGAGCACGTGCACTGAGCTGCAGCAGAAGGTTGACCTGCTGAGGTAACGTAACGCGGCGTTAGCCACTAACCCAGCGCTGCCCTGGCTGCTCCTTTAACCACCCTAGATTAACTCTGGCTTAACTCTGAGTAGCAAACACTGCCATGGACTCCTCTAACTCCTCTAGTCATGGATAACAAAGAGCACTGGAATCAGTAACTGTGTGTGACTTACTCCTCTCTGTGCCTGGAGCACCTGCCAGCTGTCCTGTGTGTGGATGTCACCGTCACCATGTGTAGCTCGTCCTCCAGCACAAACCCATTGTATTCCCGTGTCCAAAATCCATGGTAACACCTCCAGAGTGCTTTGTAGCTTTTACTAATCTTCACTTCACTCAGTTTGTTCCCTTCTAGAGCTGAATGTTGCTCACAAGGCTAAAATTGCTCCTGTTTTGCCTCAGTGTTTCAGTGAATGCCGTAGGATTATGGTGATTTGAAATGCTAAAAGTGCTTCTATTTTTCTCAGTATTTAAGTTAATATTAGAAAATTATAGGGACTTTTTTTTCCCAGTTAGGAAGCCCTCAGGAGTGGGATATGGCAAATACAGTTATAAAACATTTATTCATTATATTATACTCATCATAGGTTTTACCTACTTGTTTTTAACTGCTGTATTCCAGCAAGGATTTATTTTTTTTTAATGGATAAAGTGGTTACAAGCGGTTTAACTGTTGTTCAGCACCAGCTTCCTGCAGGAAATTGTTCTTTCAGGTGTCCCACCATGGCTAAGTTATTTCTGTGCAGTCTCCTGAGGACAGAAAAGGCTTTTTCCAACCGTGCTGCTCCCAGAATTCTGAATTCCTGTTGGGGAAACAGCTCACTCTCCTGGCAATCTGCACATTGTGGTGTTCAGTTGTTATTTCTAGCTTAAGGACTGAAAGATATGTAGAATATAGTGTGAAACTTTAGATTTTAACTCACTTGAGCTGCTTAAAAACATGCCCCAAAAGCCCAGGGTTTTGTTTTTTTTTTAAAGTTCGTTGTAAAATTTTGGGGTTTTTTGAACAAACTGGGGAGCGCTCCTGCTGAATTCATGTAAAATATAAATACACCATTTATGCATAAAACAAGGCAGTTGTAGCTTTGGTTTTGAAGCATTACAGGTAGCTCTGACTTGTGGGACTTCTTTCCTTTGCAGTTGTGCCACAGGAGCTGTTCTCACTTGTCTCCTGTCTGTGCCACAGGTGCGAGGCCGAGAAGCTCCGCGAGGAAAACGCTGTCCTGAAAAACGAGGTCACTTTATTAAATGAGGAAGGGAGCGCTTCCAGCCTGAAACTGAGGGAGCTGAATGGATCCAGGGAAGAAATGAGGTGAGAATTCCGTGGGGAATGCACCCTGGGATGCCTTCAGGCTGTTGTCGTGGCTCAGCCGCAATGGGTTCATCCCTTCTCTCCAAGCTCCCTCGTGTTTCAGGCGCCGTACAGATCCAAACTGGGGCTATTTCATGGAGTTATTCCTCATCCTTTTCCCTGCCCCAGCTGGTCCTGCCCATCCCCAGAGGCAGCAGAGGTTTAGCTGTAGGCATTGGGGTGACCCAGTAACACACACAGAGGATGTAGGAGCTGACCTGATGCAATTCTTTGTGCTTCAGCAAAGGCAGGGAGAGGCTCCTCTGGCAGATTATTCCAGTGGTTGGGTCTTTGGCAAGTGCAGAACCATCCCTGATCCTGGGATTATTCTTCCCCTCTAGGAAAGACCCACTTGGGGCACCTTGGGAGGTTGAGCACTGGCCCAGCTGATGCAGAACGGGGATGCTGAGCAATAAATAAATAAATATCCACAATCACCATTTCTGGTGGTGTTTAAAAAACCAGCTCATTTTTGGAATCATTAGGTTGGAAAAGACCTCCAAGATCATCAAGTCCAACCATAACCCAGCCCTGCCAAGGCCACCACTGACCTGTGTCCCCAAATGCCACAGGGATTTTCAATCCCTCCAGGGATGGGGACTCCACCACTGCCCTGGGCAGTGAGGAAATCTTTCCTAATACCCAATCCAAACCTCCCCTGGCACAACTTGAGGTGATGTCCTCCTGTGCAATCTTGCAGCTGTGTATATTGATAATTGATTTTAGTGTTAATGAGCTTTCATTTCTCCACAGGCAGAAGATAGAGGCTGTGAGGAAGGAGAAAGTGGCTGTGCAGAAGATGGTGGACAACCTGAAAAAGCAGGTGTGTGGCAGCAGGAAACAAGCACTTTATAAATTTAAATGTTTTGATTACTGTTTTATTGCCTCTTTGGGCAATGGATTTGAGGCTTGCTTGACCTGCTCATAACACAAAAGCAGTAATTGTCCAGCTCACAGGCTTGAGAGCACTTTCCACAGTCAACTTGGAAAGTGTTTTTGTAGAAAAGCAAAGTTTAAATCTTTTGTTTTATAGTTTTTGTGCCATTCTCTGCAGTAGCCCATGGGAAATAGAGATTGTGATTCAACCTTTACTCATTTCCCATCTGGCCTGGTCTAGGGGTTCTGCCAGCTGTATCCATGTGGCTGCTACTTTTATTTTAGGGGTGGCTTGTTATAATGGATGAAATAAAAGGATTAATTACCTTTAACATCATGCCATCTTAGTATTGCTCAGGAAAATACTTGCTCAGAATAATCAGGATAACCCTCAAAATCCACACCAGGGTGGCAGAGCGTTGGGTGACTGATGTGACTGGTCTCTAATTAAGGCCAATTATGACAAATTATTTGTTTGGAGTCACTGTCAGAGTGAGACTTGTCAGATCTTTAATTACCTTAAGAGAAAGGAAATTCCCAAAATCTCATTCCTGGTGTAAAATCACTGCTGTCCCCACTCAGGTGGCTGATCTGAAGACCAGGAACCAACAGCTGGACTCTGAAAATACAGAACTCAGCCAGAGGAACTCCAAAAGCCAAGCAGATGTGCAGGACCTCAATCAACAGCTGGCACGGGTGCTCAAGCAGAAGGAAAGGGAAGAGGGGAAGTGTACCCTGGAAGAATGGGAAAAGGAGAGGCTGCTGCTGAAAGAGGAGCTGGAGAGCTCCAAAATCGAGGTACAGCATTTCATAGGACAGTTGGACTTCATGGGCTTTGGAACTGGCATCCCTGTCCTGGGATGGGATTTCAAAGCTGAGCTTTGCTAAGTGCTGCCCTAAACACAGCAGCAGCCAAAAGCCAGGAGGGAAAAATGTGCAGGTTTGTCTTGAAAACACAGCTTGGTGATGCCAAATGTTTCCCTGCATTTTCCACGTTGTTCATCCAGTGCCATCTCAGCTCTATCCAGTGGCTGCAGCATCCTCAGCTCAACTTTGCTCTGTGAGTTCTCCTAAATTGAAATCTGAGCCTTTCTTTTTTTTTTTTTTGCAGTCCTCAAATATGGTGTCATCTTTGGAGATGGATTTGTCAAAAATGAAGGTCCAAGCTCATCTACTGGAGCAGGAGAACCACATCCTCAAGCAGGAGCTGGAGAAGACAAAACAGGTATGGCATCCTCTTGCCCAGAGGAGCTGTGGCTGTTCCTGGATCCCTGGAAGTGTCCAAGGACACCTTGGAGCAGCCTGGGACAGTGGCAGGTGTGTCTGTTTATTCCAGAGAGGTTGGAACTTGATGACCTTTAAAGGTCCCTTCCAACCCAAACCCTCCTGGGATTCTGTTTGAGTGCATTCAGATTAATTTGCACCATCTCTTAATGGATGAAAATTAAGAGGTGGAAATAGTTGATTTCTTCAAAGAAAGGTCATAAAAGTAAGGGAATGTAACTCCTCTTGAAAGAGTTTCCAGGTGCAACACACAATTCTTCAAATAAGGTTGGGTTCACTTCGATTTTGCCAAAAGATTTTGGGAGTAGTGGATCTACAAAGAGAAGCTTTGGTCAAGATAGAGATTTAAAGCTGTAATTAAGGGATAGATAGGGAAAATGGGATCCACAGGAGGACATTTCCCTGGTTTAACTGGAGATATAACCCATTTTAGCTCCATTTAAGGAGTGAGCTCTTCCAGCATGTCCTGTCAGGGAGAATTCCTGTTGCTAAACAGGAGATTTGGGAGATCTGGGAGTCTCACAAGGTCTGAGGATAATTTCCTGGAGAGCTCAGTTATCTCCTGTACAAGCACAGTTCAATTGGCTGTAAATGTATGGTAATAAACACAGATAATGAGGGCTTCAAATGAGGCAGTTCCCTGATTAGGGCTCCACAAAGTCATTTTCTGCACAGTGTAAAACACTCAGTGCTCAGGGTAGATAATGGCCTTAAAAAGCAAAAGCAGCTGAGGCCTATTGAGAAAGGAGGGGATTGTGGCTGGAGTGTAATTACAGAGGTGGAATGAGGAAAGGCAGGGATAAAGCACTGGGGCACTTGGGACAAGGATTGGAGCTCAGCAGTGCAGAGGTTTTCCCTCTCTGTGTTTGGTGATTTCTATGGGATATTATGGAAAAATCCTTCCCTGTGAGGGTGGGGAGGGCCTGGAAGTGTCCAAGGACACCTTGGAGCAACCTGGGATTGTGGAAGGTGCCCCTGCTTATGGCCTTTAAAGGTCCCTTCCATCCCAAACCATTTGGGCATCCCCTGATTTTCCTGCCAAATTCAGTGACAGCACAAAAGTGCAACTCTGAGGGGTTTGTTTCCCACAGCTGCCCAGATGCCCTGATCTTGCTGACCTTCAAAATGAAGTTGCAAGTTTGATCACTAAAAATGAAAAGCTGCAGAAGGAGAAAGAAGCCCTGAGTGAGGAGCTGAACAGATGCATTGAAAAGGTAAGGAAGGAAAATCCTCATCACTGTGTGCTGTAAAAGGCTGTTAAAATTCCTATATCTGTATCACCATAACCTATGGTTATGATAACTTCTCTGGATGCTTTTTCCCTCACCCTTGAGCCAGATAAAGGCTTTGTTGCCACCTCCTGGATTGTTTTTTCCTAGCTGGTCTTAGAGAGGAAAGCTTCAGTTCTGGAGCACAGCTTTGCTGTAATTTGATTATGTAGGAAATTCCAAACATTGCAAGGAAGAGAGGCCTGGATGTAAATCCTGCAGCAGGACAAGGGAGACAGTGTTCTTGGACTTTTATTGCATCTCTAGCCTACTGTAACTCTGAACTGGAGCAGAGCACTCTGCACACTGCAAATAATAATCCCATTGTGTGGAAATTCAGGGAGCTGAGGGGCTTTTTGCTTTCCTGCGTTTTCCTTCCTTCCTTAGCTTTAACTCCCTCTGGGAGTTGAAGTGAAATGGAGTCAAAAAGCAAATTCCTGAGTGAGATTCCTGGTGTAATGTCATTGCAGGTAGCTCGGGTCAGCTGCCTGGAGAGTGCAATGGGCACCTTGAAGCAGGAGCAGAAATCCTGGGAGCAGCAGAGTCAGGCACTGAAAGCACAGCTCAGCCTCTCCCAGGACAAGGTATGAAACACTGATTTATGGTCCAGCCCTGATGAAAGCACTTTGATCAGCTCCTGTAGTGCTTTTGCTCCTGCAAGGCCCCTCCTGATGCCATGCAGCTGAGAATGGCTGCTTGAGGGGCTTTCACAGAGATGTTCTTAGAGGACAAAAGGAAACTTGTTAAACACAAGGAGGGGTTTTTCTCTCTACAGCCAAGCTACTTTTGCCAATCCCCTCTGCCTGGTGATTCCTAAAATGCTGCAGAGACTCTGCTGTTGCTGCTCTGTCCTGGTGCAGGCTCATCCTTCCCCAGGCAGGGATGGGATCAAGTGGTTCCCTGCTTGGCTGAGCATTTCCGGAGCAGGAAGAAGAAACAATTCAAGGGAAAGTTTCTTTCCAGGATATCTCAGTGAATGCTCAGGGCTGGAAGATGTTTTTGGTGAATGCAGCATTGTGGCTCTATTCAAAGTGGGTGGCTGGGAGCTTGGAACAAGAAGTTGGAAAATCATTTGGAATTATAGAGTTTTAAGGATAGAAAATCCTTATAAGATTGAGTCCAACCATTCCCCCAGCACTACCCAGGCCACCACTGCCCCCTGTCCCCAGGTGCCACATCCACCCAGCTTTTAAATCCCTTCAGGGATGGGGACTGCACCACTGCCTTGGGCAGATGTTCCAATGCTCAAAAATCCTTTCCACGAGGAAATTTTCCCTAATATCCAATCTAAACCTCCTCTGACACACCTTGAGGCTGTTTCCTCATCCTGTCCCTTGTTCCCTGGGAGCAGAGCCTGACCCCTTTCAGCTCCACCTTCCTGTCAGGGACTTGTGGAGGGCAATAAACTCAATTTGACATTTTCAAAGGAGGAAATCAACGTTTTAACTTCACTCCTTCCATCAGAGATCCTAAATACCTGGGATACCTGATCCACACAGGGAGTCCTGATCCAGCAAAAGCCAAACTGTGCTCTTGCTCTTTCCAGGTTCAGAGCCTCAGTGAAACTCTGCAGAGCACCAACCTCCAAATGTCGCGGCTGAAATCCGACCTGCAGCTGACGCAGCAGGAGAAGGAAAGTCTGAAACAAGAGGTGATGGCCCTGCACAAACAGCTGCAGAGCACCAGTGAAAAGGTAAAGGCCTCAGGCATCTCAGGGGGTAGCTGGAATTAGTGGATAGTGGATATAATGTGGTTTTAAGCTGTTTTTTAAAAATTGTAAAAAGTGTTGAACGTGGACAGGCAATGATCAGTCCCCCTCTCCCGAGTCTCCATTCTTCCCTAAAAGAAACCTTTTGCCAATAAACCCCCCCCAAATCTGTGGACAATGCATTAATTTACACCTATTAACTATAAAAATTAAACCAGTCATTGGCAGAGGAGGTAATTTTCAGTGCAACTTGGGTTTGAAAGGTAGAGAATCACACCAACCTCTCAGCTAATGAGGATTTGTAACTGAAGGAGGTTGTAGACAGCAGTCCTGGGACTACTGTTATGAATTCAGTCACTAATTTGGCTTGTTTGCCATGTAATTAAGGAATATTTAATGTCCACGTGGAAAAGAGACTCTCTCAGAATTGTACAACAGGAGCTAAATTACAGCTATTAGTACATAATATAGAATACTGAGTTCTGTTTGGCTCTAAGGAGAGCACAAATTGCCTTTTTTGTGTTGCTGAACTCTGTGCACTCCTTGTGCACACAGCTATTATCCATGGTTTTAGTAGAGGGAAGCACTTGGGATTTGCACATTGGATTTCTGAAGGGAAAACAGTGAGTGGGGCTGGGAGGGAGATGGGAATGCTGCAGCTTTGGAGCCTGCACTTACTGAAAATCCACCTAAACCCCACCTGAATAGAGCAAATGTCTGCTTCTTTGTTGAAGGCCTAACCCTGCAATTCTGTCTGTCTTAAGAACCTGGTTCTGGAAGTGGCTGTGCCTCCCTCAGGGCTGCAGGAGCAGCAGGGGCCCATCCCCTGGGATGAGCAGGAGCAGAGGCTGCTCAGGCAGGACAACGAGAGGCTGCAGAGGGAAGTGCAGAGCACAAAAACAGACCTGGCTCACTCCAGGGAAAAGGTAACCTGGGCAAGCTGGGAGATCACAGCAGGGCTGGGCTGGGGGATCTGCAGGGCACTCAGACCCCTTTGCATAGATCACAATCCAAGCAGGGATTGAACATCTGAGACTCCACAACGCTCTCAGGATATTTCTCTTCTTTAAAAGACAATCCTGGTAGCCTTTGTCCAAGATTTCAGTCCAACTTCAAGTTACCAAAAAAATTCTTAATATTCCTAACATTCTTCTTGTGGAATTTCTCCAGAGAATGAGACTCCACAACACTCTCAGGATATTTCTCTTCTTTAAAAGATAATCCTGGTAATTCTTGTCCAATCCTGGTAATTCTCTGGAGGTCACTCAGACCCCTTTGCATAGATCACAATCCAAGCAGGGATTGAACATCTGAGACTCCACAACACTGTCAGGATATTTCTCTTCTTTAAAAGACAATCATGGTAGCCCTTGTCAAAGATTTCAGTCCAACTTCAAGTTAACCAAAAGATTCTTAATATTCCTAACATTCTTCTTGTGCAATTTCTTGGCTTGCAGTATCAAGTGGATTATGGGGAGGGCAAAGGGAAAGAAGGCCAAGATGTCAGAAATATCCCAGAGTTGCCCAGAGAAGCTGTGGCTGCTCCTTTATCCCTGGAAATATCCAAGGCCAGCTTGGACAGGGCTTGGAGCAGCCTGGGATAATGGGAGGTGTCCCTGCCAAGGCAGGGGTGGGATGGGTTGGGATTTAAGGTCCTTTTCCACCCAAACCACCCTGAGATTCTGTGAGCCCAAAATCAGCTGGTATTTTAAATAAAGTGGAACTATCTGGAACATCTTTTGCCACTTGTTCATCTCCCATCTCCTCAGATCCGACAGCTGGAATCCACAATCCTCTCCCTAAAGCACCAAAAGCATCAAAGCCAGGCAGGGATTGTCAAAGCCATGGAGCAGGAGAAGCTGAGCTTGAAGAGGGAGTGTGAGCAGCTTCAGAAGGAGCTGTCATCTGCAAACAGGAAGGTGAGGTTTGGGTGCTAAACACACAAATCAGTCAATTCCACCTCTCAGAAGCTCAAGGGGTTTTGAAATACCCCTTGAAACAGAAAGCTGTATCTGAAGCATTGAACATGGACAGGCAGTGATCAGTCCCTCCCTTGAGTCTCCATTCTTCCCTAGAATAAACTGTCTGCCAACAAAACCCCCAAATCTGTGGGCAATGCATTAATTTGCACCTATCAACTATAAAAGTTAAACCAGACATGGACAGAGGAGCTAATTTTCAGTGCAGCTTGGGTTTGAAAGGTACAGAATTACACCAGGCTCTCAGCTAAGGAAACTTTCTTCTTCTGCTGTGGATTTTGTGCTCTTTGCCTCTCACAAATCTGTGTCTGAAGGAGCTGACAGGGCTCTGCATCTGCTGTGAGACAGCTCCTGCAGCAAAGCACTTTTCCAAATATTCCTGATTTTTAGACTTGAGTTGTCTTGGTATTCAGTGGTTCATGATGAGGGGGAAAAAACAGATAAAAGGAGAAATTGCTGCTTTTCTAAGGAAACTTTTTGTCTCTGATAGATCAGTCAGATGAATTCTCTTGAACGTGAACTGGAGAGCAGCTCAGAAAATGAAGGGCTGAGAAAAAAGCAAGTCAAGCTGGATGATCAGTTAATGGAGGTACTTTTCAATCAGTGTTGACTGTGGGCCTTTATCACCGTTTTATTGAATTTATTTTCTTTTAAAACAACTTATGGATGTGCAGCAACAGAGGAAAGTAATTGAATCTAGAAGAATGAACCTCTCCTCTTTCATGACCGAGTTGTGTGGCAAACATCCTGCTCTCTGAAGCATGTTTTGTTTAGTCATAATTCACATATGGCTTCAGATGGAAAATCAAACAGCAAAGAAATTTGTTTCTGTCCTTGAGGCAAGGCTGACACTTCCCTCTTTCTTCCTAAAACATGTCACCTCAAATTTCCTATCTAATATTTGTGCGATGCTGCTCTTAATGTAGAAACCTGGTCTTATTTCCTCTGTGAATAATTTGCTGAATTTAAGCTTAATATTATCTAAATAGTGAAAAAAATAGCAATTTACACAGTTTACTCTTAATCTAAAGGCACAAGTGAAAACTTTGGTGGAGATTCTTCCCAAAGCTGCTGTAAAAGTTCTGCTGGAGATGGATCATCAAAATTTAGGAGTTCTTGTTTATAGGAATGGGCAATTTAATTGTGTTTAGTGCATCCCATAAGGTCAGCCCAGACCTCCAAGCTCTCTCTCAGTAGTCTTGCCTAAATTTGATGTCCTGGATTTGAGTTTAAAACATAATATTAAAAAAAAAAACCCTACAATTTTGACTTGTTCCATAAGTCAAAGCATCTTTTAGATGAGGCTTCTATAACACTTTATAGATGGCTTCATGTTTTCCACCAAATGGGAGCCATTAGGCTGAAAATCCTATGTAATTAGTAATAAAATTGTAAAAAACCTAATTAGGAAAGATGAGATTTTGACAAGTTAATGAAAAGACTGTTTCTATTCCCTGTGAATTTATTTACATAGTCTTAATTAAGCTTTGGGAGAATGCCAAACACTCAAACCCATAAACACCCAGCCTGGGATTGCCTTTTCTCCTGAAATGTGAATTTCAACCATGCAGGATTTTGTTCTTCCTGGTAACCTTTTCCCAGCAGGTGTGTGCAGCATTCACTCAGTGATTTGTGGTTTCTAACTCTCTCTTTTGTGCCTGTTCTCCTTTTGTCCATGGCTAACCTGGCTAGAACTCAGTGGTTGGAGCTAGCAGAGAAGGGGGCAGCTCTCTCTCTGAAATAGTGTGTGAAGGTAGAGCAATCACTTTTCATGTACCCTCATAGCATGGAAAAACTCATTTTTTTAAATTCTTTTTAATGAATTCATTTTTTTAATGAATTTTTTTTTTTTTTGTCTTTTTATTCCATGCATCTCTTAAGTAAAGAAGCCACTATTCATTTCAATGTCAATTTTGGAACAGTGCACAGGTTCTTTGTGGTTTGTGCTGTGCACTGTGGCTCTGTACCCTCAGGAGCTGTGTGTTCCTGAGGGGTTGCCATGAAAATGGAGAGAAATCACCCCAAAATTCCCAATTCTTTTGGAATTTTAAGAAGATAAAAGAATATAAAAGAATAAAAGAAAATAAATAGAAAAGAAAATAATAAAAGAATTAAAATTGGAAGGAGGAGAATGAAAAGTGGCTTCCTGCTCCCCCATTGCCTGTGAGGCTTGAAGGTGTTTGCATATTTACTCCTGCACGAGACTGCCCAACGTTTCCTGAAATTAATTAATTTCTCATCATTAATTCTCATCTGATGGTTTAGCAAGCTCATGATGGTTCCATTTTCTTCCACAGATGAATCCAGCAGGGCTATATTGTTCCCATTGTTGTTTCATTAGTAATTATTTTTAAGATGCTGTTAGCACTAATTGACTGTTTCCTCATTAGTTACTTGTGTGCTTCACGACATGACAGGAATCCTGAAAGAAATCCCACCAAAAGCTCATTATTTTCACTGTTTATATTGTCAGGGAAAGAACAGCTCCTTTACAGACAAAAAGAACCCCTAAATAGCTTTAAAAAGCACAAATAGTTTTATTTTCAAGCATTTATAAACCTATGTTCTGTTTACCTGGACCAGCAGAGATAGGGGTGGTAACAGGGCCAGAAGAGCTGCAGCATTGTGAAAAATATTTACAGTTAGAGATGAAGTCAGTAACTGAAATATTATCAAAATTGATAATTTTGTCAGTTGTGAAAGGGAATTAAAATCAGCTGTGAAAGGAAAGCTAAAATCACCTAGATAATCTTATACACCTTTTCCTAAGGGAACAGAGAAATGGTTTTAAGGTAACAGGACCTTTATGGTCCTGGTTTTTTCTTTCTTTATGGGAAGAAATTATTAGTTCTACACAAATTCCAGCTGCAAATGAGTTTGTTTCAACCAGGGATTTTTACTGTCCACTTCTGGCCCTTTTTAGTTATAATTAACTCTTCCAGCTGTGAGTTACTTACCTGGGTTTTGCTTTAGTCTGGAAAAATTCTAAATTATTCCATGTGACTGGCTTAGGTCTTAGTATCTCCACAGTTAGGAGTGAATATTAGGAAATATCTGTAGGGTGTTATATACTGAATTTTGAGGGTTAGGGTTATAATCAGCACAATAATCAGCACAACTTCAGCCTTCCCCTTGAAATGGGAAATTACTGCTACTTAAAGCTCCCCAACTAAACTTTGATAAGAATTCATCCAAAATTCAGTGATTTTATAACTCAGGCCTGAAATGATGAATCAAAGCCCAGCTTCCTTTGTGTGAAATTCCATCTTTTGTCACCTCTATCACCAAGTCCAGCCTTGTTTCCCTTGCACATAAAAAAATCTGGGAGCTGCTCCTGGGTAGCCCTGGCAGAGGGAGCAGGTGCTGATTTTGGGATTTGGGGTTTTCAGGGGCTCCTGGGGAGCTCTGGCAGAGGGATCAGGTGCTGATTTTGGGGTTTGCAGAAGCTCCTGGAGTAGGTGCTGATGTTGGGATTTGGGGTTTTGCAGATGTTCCTGGGTAGCCCTGGCAGAGGGAGCCGGTGCTGATTTTGGGATTTGGGGTTTTCAGGTGCTCCTGGGTAGCTCTGGCAGAGGGAGCAGATGCTGATGTTGGGGTTTTCCAGATGCTTTTGGGCCACCCCTGGCAGAGGGAACAGGTGCTGGTTTTGGGGTTTTGCAGATGCTCTGGGGCACCTCTGGCAGAGGGAGCAGGTGCTGATTTCGGGATTTGGGGTTTTTCAGGAGCTCCTGGGTAGCCCTTGCAGAGGGATCAGGTGCTGATGTTGGGATTTGGGGTTTTGCAGATGCTCTGGAGCAGCCCTGGCAGAGGGAGCAGGCGCTGATATTGGGATTTGGGGTTTTTCAGGAGCTCCTGGAGCAGAGGGAGCAGGTGCTGATGTTGGGATTTGGGGTTTTCCAGATGCTTTTGGGGCAGCCCTGGCAGAGGGAGCAGGTGCTGGTTTTGGGATTTGGGGTTTTGCAGAAGCTCTGGAGCAGGTCCTGATGTTGGGATTTGGGGCTTTGCAGATGCTCCTGGAACAGAGGGAGCAGGTGCTGATGTTGGGATTTTGGGTTTTTCAGGAGCTCTGGAGCAGCCCTGGCAGAGGGAGCAGGTGCTGGGTTTGGGGTTTTGCAGAAGCTCTGGAGCAGGTGCTGATTTTGGGATTTTGGGGTTTTGCAGATGCTCCTGGAGTAGGTGCTGATGTTGGATTTTGGGGTTTTGCAGATGCTCTGGAGCAGAGGGAGCAGGTGCTGATGTTGGGATTTGGGGTTTTGCAGAAGCTCTGGGGCACCCCTGGCAGAGGGAGCAGGTGCTGGTTTTGGGGTTTGGGGTTTTGCAGAAGCTCTGGGTCAGGTGCTGGTGTTGGGATTTTGGGGTTTTGCAGATGCTCCTGGAGCAGGTGCTGATTTTGGGATTTGGGGTTTTGCACATCTCCTGGCGCAGAGGGATCAGGTGCTGATGTTGGATTTTGGGGTTTTGCAGAAGCTCTGGAGCAGAGGGATCAGGTGCTGATGTTGGATTTTGGGGTTTTGCAGAAGCTCTGGAGCAGGTGCTGATGTGGGATTTTGGGGTTTTGCAGAAGCTCTGGAGCAGGTGCTGATGTGGGATTTTGGGGTTTTGCAGAAGCTCTGGAGCAGGTGCTGATGTTGGATTTTGGGGTTTTGCAGAAGCTCTGGAGCAGGTGCTGATGTGGGATTTTGGGGTTTTGCAGATGCTCCAGGCCAGGGGGATGCATAGCCAGAGCTCCCAGCAGCAAGGCTGTGCCACGGTGCCCAGGGAACAATTCCTGCAGCTCCAGCAGCAGCTGCTGCAGGCGGAGAGGAGGAGTCAGCACCTCCAGGAAGAGCTCCAGAGCAGACCCTCGGCGACAAACATGCAGCAGGTAAGGCCCTCTCGCCTTGAAAGTGAAACTTTTAAAGGATTTGGTTTGGTTGTCTTGGGGTTTTTTGGTTTTTTGGTTTTTGTTTTTATTCTGGTGAGATCCGTTCTCTGTTTATGCCAGTTCAAAAGTGAAATTTCATGGCAGCAAGGATGTGTGTAAAACGCTGGCTGGTGTGGTCAGCACGAGCCAGAGCTTTGTTCTCAAGTCCTCTTTATTTTTTTTGAGATCAAACCCCTCCCATCCCACACTTAAGTGGCTTTTCTCCTTCTGCTCCATCTGCAGTAAGTGTTTATAGAGGCTTTTTTCTTGTTGTTTCTTTACCTAATGGCCCTGTCTAGAGCTATTCTTTTTAAAATACACCACACCAAATATTGCACAGGCATCCATCACATAAAATCCTAATTTGGGCTGCTGCTGTCACATGGAATTGTGTCAATTGTAGCAGAGCAGAACACAAATTAATCCTTTTTTTCTAAGGTTTTTTCTAATCCTTTTTCTTCCTGATTTGGCCACGAGACAAAACACTGTTACTGTTGTACAGAAACTTCAACATTTCTGAGGGAAAACCAATTCCAAGGAAGATTAATTCATCCACTCACTTTTAGTGTTAATTTTTTACCTTGTAAAACTGAATTCTAGGCAATAAAAAGGTTTACATCTGCCATATAAAAATTTCCAGATGATCTTTTTCTTCAAACTAATTGGATCTCTAAATGTCTCAAGCTTTGGCTCAGGCCAAATAATGTCTTAAAATAATATTCCAGCTTTACCTTGTGAGAAAAGGTAAAGTTTAAGTAACCTAAATTTATATTTAGTATTTTACCTATTTTAGATTAGATATTTATTTAGTTTTACACTTAAATAAATAAATTAGATTAAATACTATTAGTTATGTATTCATCTGGTACCAGGAAAAAAGGACCCCTCTTATATTTTAAATTTGGATTGCAGTTATATAATAATAATAATAATAATAATAATAATAATAATAATACCAAGACTTTGAAGCTCAAAAATCTCTGAATGTGGGAATAGGTATTCCAGAAAAAAAGGGTATTATGGAGAGAGTATAGGCAGAGTAACCAGTTTTTAAAGTATCCAAAACTTGGAGTAAAATTTTTTTTTGAGAAAGGTATAAAATCAAAATGTTTTATTAAAAAAATAAAAGCCAGTCATTTCAGGTTAAGCAGAAATAACTTGATTATAAGGTTCCTTTTCAGAAGTGCATCACCACAGGCTGATGTAGTTGTTCCCATACCATGGGGAGCAAAATGTGCAGTTTAATTTAAAAATCAATCAAAGCCATATTGCAGCAGTGGCAAATGGAATGTGCTGGGATTGCATTAGGAGTGATGAGTTTGTAATTTAGATTTTGGAACAATCTGCAAACGAGTCACGTCCTGGAACTTGCAGTTCTGGAGAGGAATTGCTCCTGCATTTCCTGGAAAAGCTTTGGGAATTTAAAAATACTTAGAGAGGCTTTAAAAATATGTGCTGTCAATGCACTAACACACTTCATCCTTTTAATTTTTTCCTTAAAATGAGTGCATATTCTGCTTTCTAACACCCTTTTTTTTACTACATAACTTTCCAAATCATTATTAAAAACCTGCAGTTACAAACAAAGCCAGATTTATTTGTCTCCACTTTACAAGCACCTCCTGCTTGAGTCTCTGTTGATTTTTCCTTGCCATCCTGATTTTTAGGGTTTGGCATTGAGTTGAGCTCATGTCCCTTTTGATGTCCCCTTTAGCACCCTGAAAACTTCCATGCTAATCCCTCTCCATCATCCTCTCACCAGTGAGTACAAGGTCAGGCTGTCTCCATGTGTAAAATAAATAAAATAAATAATTCAGTTTTGCTGCTTTGCTTTTTGCAGCTTTTTAGCTCCTGTCTAATGAGGCATCCAAAGTTCCCCCCCCCTTATTTTTGTTTGTTTTAATGGAATTATTTTGTGTTTATCCTGCTTTGCAGTTTTCATTGCTTTTTGATCCTGGTTGTCTGTAGTTTTTTCATTCATTTTACAGTCAGGCCTGAGTTATTCTCACCCAAAGGCTGCTGTTACATATTGAAATTTCACTAAATTAAATAAAAACTATAACTCCTGAGCTGTTTGTGCTGTGTTAACCTGCCTGGACTCTTCTGAATCTCCAGTGATTGTTTCTGCTGTGTCCAGTGCTGTGATTACCTCATATCCCTTTCTCAATAACTAAATTTGGAGCCTGGTAATTACCCAATATTTCCCAAAGCTTGCTTAGCACTGATCCATATTTGAGTTGCTCAGTTCCCCCTCTGTACAGCTCTTTATTTCAAATTTCATGGCACCTCTGACCAGCTGCTTGTTCACTCTGAGGGAAAAACAGCAAGGTTTGAGATAGAAATGCAAAGTTTTCAAAGGAAGGCCAGTTTGGCTACGTTTTTCCCAAATGCTTGGCAATCTGAGATTTTATATATAATTTTTTTAATATATATATTATATTTATATATAAATATTTGGCTACATTTTTCCCAAATGCTTGGCAATCTGAGATTTTATATATATATATTTTAATATATTTTATATGTGTATGTATATATAATATTTATATATAATGTTTGGCTGTATTTTTCCCAAATTTTTGTCAATCTGTGAGATTATATTTATATATATATATAAAATATATATATTTAAATATATATCTATTATATTTATATATAATTGGCTAAATTTTTCCCAATTGCTTGGCAGTCTGTGAGGTACTTTATATATATATATATACATTATATATATATAAAATATATTTATATGTAATGTTTGGCTACATTTTCCCCAAATGCTTGGCAATCTGTCAGGTTTTATATATATGTTTTAAATATCTATATTAAATTGATATATAATGTTTGGATACAATTTTCCCAAACGCTTGGCAATCTGTGTGGATATATTTTAAATATCTATACATTATAATATCTAAATATTTAAATATCTATGTATTAATGTCTGGATACATTTTTCCAAATGCTTGGCAATCTGTGAGATTTTACAGATAGATTTTAATCATCTAAATATTATAATACCTATATATTTAAATATCTATATATTATATTTATCTATAATATCTGGATACATTTTTCCTAAAAGCTTGGCAATCTGTGAGGTATTTTTTATATATATATAGATATATATATAGATATATATATAGATAAAATATATATCTATATAGATATAGATATAGATAAAATATATATCAATATATGTAATATTTATCTATAATATCTGGATACATTTTTCCCAAAAGCTTGGCAATCTGTGAGGTATTTTTTATATATATATAGATATATATATATATAGATAAAATATATATATCTATATCAATATATGTAATATTTATCTATAATATCTGGATACATTTTTCCCAAAAGCTTGGCAATCTGTGAGGTATTTTTTATATATATATAGATATATATAGATATATATAGATATAGATTAAAAAATATATATATCTATATCAATATATGTAATATTTATATATAATGTCTGGATACATTTTTCCCAAAAGCTTGGCAATCTGTGAGGTATTTTATATATATATATATAGATATATATAGATATAGATAAAAAAAATATATATATATATCAATATATGTAATATTTATATATAATGTCTGGATACATTTTTCCCAAAAGCTTGGCAATCTGTGAGGTATTTTATATATATATATATAGATATATATATAGATATAGATAAAATATATATATATATATCAATATATGTAATATTTATATATAATGTCTGGATACATTTTTCCCAAAAGCTTGGCAATCTGTGAGTTTTTATATATATTATATGAGATTTTCATGCTATAAATGAGATTTTTCGAGAGGGAGAGAGGAGGATTTCCTCTGAAAAGCTTTGCTACCTCAGTCACTGCCAGTGATCTTTTAAAAACCATGGATGAGAGTCCTTAGATGTAGGAAGCAGCCCCTCCATGTCCCAGCTGTGTAGTGCTACTATCAATATTTACAGCTATAAAATATAAAATACCCTGCATGTTTTTTCTCTTTGTGTGTGTATTTTTTTCTTTTGTCCTGTGTTGCTTGCTTTGCTTGTTGTGCTGATTGTTTTTGGCTGGAAGTGTTGATGTTTTGAAGCAGAACGTGGATCTCAGGGTGAAGTTTGCCCCTTCCCTTCTTTCCCCAGGCCCTGCTACCGGAGCAGCGCGCAGTGCATGCAGATTCCTACCGCAGGATTGGGCACCTCTGAACCCCTGGCTGCTTCTGATCCCCTTCCCTTGCCATGATAGACACAAATCACAGAACTGGCATAAGCTGAGAACCTTGAGGATCAAATGCCTTTGTTTTTTCTTTTTTTTCCTTTTTTTTCCCTTTTTTTCCTTTTTTTTCCTTTTCTTTCCTTTTTTTTTTTCCTTTTTTTTTCCTTTTTTTTTTCCTTTTTTTTCCTTTTTTTTCCCTTTTTTTCCTTTTTTTCCTTTTCTTTCCTTTTTTTTTTCCTTTTTTTTTTTCCTTTTTTTCCTTTTTTTCCCTTTTTTTTCCCTTTTTATTCCTTTTTTCTTTTTTCTTTTTTTCCTTTTTTTTTCCTTTTTTTCCCTTTTTTTTCTTTTTATTCCTTTTTTCTTTTTTCTTTTTTTTCCTTTTTATTTCCTTTTATTTCCTTTTTTCTTTTTTCTTTTATTTCCTTTTTTCCTTCATTTTTTCCCTTTTTTCCTTCATTTTTCCCCCCTTTTCCCCCCTTTTCCCCCCTTTTCCCCCCTTTTCCCCCCTTTTCCCCCCTTTTCCCCCCTTTTCCCCCCTTTTCCCCCCTTTTCCCCCCTTCTTTTTCCCCTTTCTTTTTCCTTTTTTCTTTTTTCCTCTTTTTTTCCTTTTTTTCATTTTTTCCTTTTTTTTTCTTTTATTCCTCTTTTTTCTTTATTCCTCTTTATTTCCTTTTTTCCTTTTTTCCTTTCTTTTCCTTTTTTCCTTTCTTTTCCTTTTTTCCTTTCTTTTCCTTTTTTCCTTTCTT